CCCATCCACGCTTCTCGTTTTGCTGGGCCATGGTCCTCTGGGAATCATAGCTCTCGACACGGCGAATGGGGTTGTTGAAGTTGGCCTGGACTCCGGCGGCAGCGCCGTGTGCATGTCCTCCTGCGTTGAAAGCCTCGCCCGTTGCGCCACCGTGGCTGTGACCACCAGTCTTCTCATGCAGCCACATCTCAATTACAAAGAGAACAAAGAGCGAACCCATCATGATTACACCTGGCATGGCAGGGTAGTCGTCGGTGAAAAGATCGGGCAAGCATGGGTCATTGAGTGATGCAAAGGCAGTCGGCAAAAGCTAGGCAGCGTTAGTCAGGTTGACTAAACTTTCTTTGTGAATGACATGTACTGACATGAACGAAAGCGGTCGCAATCAAAACACCGGTACCAAAGTGCTTGCAGAAAAAGAAGACTGGGGGAGGAATCTTCATCCACTGAATCTTCTTGGCAACCACTGGGAAGCCGGCGCCGAAGATGGAGGCAAAGAAGACAATGACTGATTAAGTGTTAGACACGAGAGATAGAGAGAGCTTGTATGACGCAATTCTGGCACTTACAAACTGCAGCGACGTGCAGGGGAAAGTCGTAGACAGCAGCATCGGCCTCGCTGCCGCACTGGGGCTTTTCGTCGGCCATGGTAATGATTACGAAGGGGATAAAAATGTAGCACAAGAAATGAGTGCGGTAATTCCGGACTTGCCAGCAGTCTCGTCGCCGGCGACGATGGACGAAGAGAAAGTGAGAAGTGAAAAAAGAGGAGAAAAGAAAGGAATCCGACACACACACTCTTTCAAAGAGTAAACTAAAGCCAAAAGCCAAAGAACTGAAGTTGAAGGTATGGAACTTAAAAGCTCGGCATGGCAGACTATGTATTGCTTTAAACCTGGCATAGCATGAGAGACACTAACCGCATCACGTTGATCATAACGGTCCTAGAACGAATAGGGATTACCAAGACGGTGGAACCTCGACACATTGGCCTGTGCCTCAGATGCCGCTTGAGTGATGGGTGCTACGCGCAGAGGACGGAGGTCCAGACGGTGCCAGGAGCGACCAGCATTGCGCCGACTAAACACAAGCAATTCCACAAGGCCGCAAGGCTGTAGTCGGAGTGGTGGTTCGCCGAGCCCAAGAAGCTCATGGGAGACATCTGTCATGCTATTGGGGACTTGGCAGGGCCGGGCGATCTTGGAGGGGTGGAGATGTGATGCGGCTCAAGTCTCGTTTCCACCGAGTGGGACAAGTGGCGACATGTGGAGGTGCAAAGCATTCAGGGTGAGGCTTGGATGGGATTTTCTGGAGCAGTTGGGGTTCGAAGAGGCTCGATGCTGAAATTAGCAGGCCAATGAGACGTTTTGGGACAGCGTTTGCGCGTATAGCCAAGCACGGGTGGATTTAGTACCGTTCTGGCACTCGCTTGGCAATGTCGTGACTTTGCAGTTTTGAAACCTGGGGAGAAGTAGACAAGAATACTGGAGGTTGGAAGTGGTCCCTTTGTGGAACTTTGTGTAGCCGATGGGATCCTTCCGCGACGATCGCTGCTTTGCACTAAGCCACTTTCGGCTCTTGAGACGGGTTTTGGCCGTTGGGGGAACATTTAGCCGCGACTTTTGTAACTTCAGCCATCCCGGCCAAGACGAGATGGGTGTTCCCACTGTGAGCTTGTCCACGCGGCGGGCTCCATCAAAAGTCCACTTCTTTCAAAGAGATGGATGCGGGGCAGTAAGGTGGTGTGGGGACGGGGGTGGGTTTTTCTCTCTCTCTTCCTCTCTCCTTAACCCGAGTAAAGGCGACCAAGCCTTTGCTTGGGCTCTCGGCAATTCCCCCCAGACCGCCTGACCATGATCCGGTGAGAAAGGGGCCCTGTAGACTCAACAACAATGTCTATACAATCCTTCTCTATACCTTCCATGCTTGTCAGGTGCCAAGTATAATGGAGTATCAAGATCAGGTCAAGCCCATGTAAACTGGCCCAATGCGGTATTATAGCTGACCTAAGGCGTGCTAGTAAGCGTTGTGAATGCTTAGCGGGTTTCAGGCTCCGCGTCCACCATGCCCACACGTGCGCCTCCAACCTGCACCTTCGCACAATCTTGCACCCTCCAAACAATCCGGCCATGTCATAATGACTCCAGGCTGGGTGCAAAAAAAATCTAGACGGAGGCGAGCGGGAGGAGCGCCGCTGGTGGCGTTTATCGTCGTGTTTATTACAGAGCCTGCTTGCCCGGTTCTGAGGCGTACATACCTTTTCCGTAGCCCATTCACGCAATACATCCTGGCGATCGCTCATACACTCACGTACGCGTCCCTCAGACCAGATTTCCGGAAGACATGTCTCCTGAGTCCCATGGTATGTTTTAGGCGTCTGGAGTAGCGCTTTTGTGTCTGATAGTCCCAGCTTCACCTGACCGCCCATCCCCGGGCCAAGGTACCGAGCAAACAAACGTTCCAGCCAATGCTGGTCAAGTCTTGTCTGCAAACCAAGCCGCCGCTGCCCAGCCTGGAACAGATGCCATCGAAGAGCTGTCGTCTGGAGACAGCGTCTCCTCCCACGATGCCAAGCACACTGCCGCCATCACTGTCAACAGCGACCCGCTTGATCTGGGTAGACATCGCCGAGAAGATGTGACACAGAAGCAGATGAAAGCGGAACATCCGTTGGCTAAGCCCAGGCACATGAAGAAGTTTTACACGCGCCAAAACGCCCTCATCGACCAGTTTCTCCAAAGCGGCGACGAAGAGCGCCTGGCTGCCCTCGACCAGCTCGAAAATGGCCCCAAGGTGCGCTTCGCCGTAAACGCCTCCTTCGTAGTCAACTTTTGTCTATTCGTCATCCAGCTGTATGCGGCCATTTCCACAGGCTCGCTTTCGCTGTTCGCAACTGCAGCAGACGCCTTCATGGACCTGGTATCTTCGATTGTCATGCTCGTCACATCCCGCATGGCAGCAAGACCAAGCGTGTACAAGTATCCTGTCGGACGGACGCGCATCGAAACAATTGGCATCATCATGTTTTGTTGTTTGATGACGACTGTTGCCATCCAGTTGATTGTAGGTATCTCCCAACGCCAAGATCAAGCAATTGCTGACACTTGACAAGATCGAATCCGGCAGAGCTCTGGGTGGTGGTGAAACCGACTCGGAGGAGCTTCACATTATCCCCATTGCCTTCGTTGCTACTGCCATTTTCTGCAAAGGCTCCCTCTGCATCTACTGTTTCATCTATCGTCGCTACCCTGCCGTCCATGTCTTCTTCATCGATCACCGTAACGATATTATCGTCAACGCCTTCGGTCTGGCCATGTCCATTGTCGGCAGCCGCGTCGTCTGGTATGTCGATCCTATTGGTGCCATCCTCATCGGTCTTTTGATCCTCGTCTCGTGGGCCGCAAACGCTTTCGACCACGTCTGGCTGCTTGTCGGAAAGTCAGCCCCCAAGGATTTTATCAGCAAGCTCATCTACCTTGTTGTCACACACGATACGCGCATCCAAAAGGTCGATACCTGCCGTGCGTACCACGCTGGACAAAAGTACTATGTGGAAGTCGACATTGTCATGAGCGAGGACCAGCCCCTCAAAATCACACACGACGTCTCCCAGACCCTGCAGCGAAAGCTTGAAGGTAAGTTATCACAACCACATGTCCGCGTGGGAACGACCACTAACTTTCCAAAAAGGTCTTGCCGACGTTGAGCGCGCTTACGTCCACGTCGATTATGAGAGCGAGCACGATATTTTCGAGGAGCACAAACCCCTTTACGAAGTCACCCAGTCACGCACTATCAAAGAGCGCGTAAAAGCCATGCGCTTCCTCTTCAAGAAACAGGACAAGGACGCTTGAGAGGCGTAATTATATAATATAATGTCTTGTTTCGTGGCCTAACCATACTTGTACATTGTAGTGCTTCTGCACTAGAGAACCAAGGCCATGTCTTTTCATTTTACTTGTCGATTTATACCCACCCAGCTTCCAGCAGCTAAGAGAAATATATAGCTGCGATTTTGTTATAGTTAGATAGAAACCCTTTGGGACACTTCTTCCCACGTTGTCATACGAGGGAAGATACAAATGCATTTGAGTCACGCCTGTTGATTCGAGTTTTTTCAACAGAGATTATTGCCTCGCTTGTTCCTGACCCAAAGTATTTTGTAGTACATTGCCATGCCGTGTTTCAATCTGCTATTGTGTTCTATGGCACTGGACTCGATGCTGCTGCTCTCTTGGGTTGACCACCAATACTACGGCAAGAGATGAGGGGCGCACGACCAGCCTGAGCCTAGTCACGTGCTAAGTTCCGTTATATATGCATATGTATTTAACTAAGCCTCATGTCCGTTCCGCTAGATTCGTTCAGCTACATTCAGCTCTTTATGCCATTTACTTGATTCTTGGCTGTACGTTGGGGGGCAGTGCATATCCATCATGCAGGCTGTGCCACGCAGGCAGAAGCTGCTGTAGCTGTGCAGCTGAAGCCAACTGATTATCAGGCTGCCCCGCGGCCTTCCTCTCGTAGCTGCAAACAAGTACGGGTTGACCAAATCGTTCTCCTTTTTTCTTCCAATTACCTAACTAATGACGTTTATTCATCATTCTAAACACAAAATGCGAAAGCGAGACCGTGTACGCGCATTGCTAAAATCAGGCGCTACCAAGATTCGTCCAGCCTCACCTGGTTCGACAACTACACCTGCGCAATCAGCATCACCTCGTCCCTCATCTTCTCCCACATCGAATTCAATTGCATCCAGTCGAGTCACACCAGCACCAGTGAAATCCCAAAATCAAGCGCTTGAGAAGGCTGTCGAGTTGCAACTGCAGAAATTCGCTCAGGCTGAACGCGCGGCATTTGAGCAAGAGATCAAGTCACTTGATGAACAATCTCTACTATCCAAAGTCCGGGTATACGACGAGGAACATAAGCATGAGTCTTCCTTCAGGCCTCACGCCGAGCGCCTAACCAAGGCCCTTGACCTGACAAGCAGGCTTATGAGGGGCGTCGCTATAGGCATTCAGGCAGACCCTGCCATATCCTCTCCTGTTGTTGGCGTACTCCGGGTAATTATTGATATTGGCTTGGAATTCTCAAAGTTTTTCACAAGATTGACTGATATGATCTGCGAGTTTGAGGATTATCTCGGGCCACTGTCTGAACATTCACAGGCAGCCGACATTGAGCTTGTAGAACATGCAGTTGTCAGTGTGTATACAAACATGCTCGAGTTTGGTTGGAAAGCACGTTCTGTTTTCATTGGTTCCAATGGAAAACGAAGGAGATTCACCTCGTTTAGGGCATTCAAACGGCAGCATTGGGACACGTTTGAGACCGAATTCATGTCCATGAAACAGCAGATGCAACACCATCTTCATGTTCTTCAGCATACTGTCCAGGCCACACACTTCAGTCATTCCAGGATAACTGCACAAAGTAGGTCTAGCCTCCTGTCTATTGCTAGTAGGTGATGTCTAAAAAGTCGTCATTGTAGGGACGGAAAGAAGAGAATTTCTTTCATGGGTCTCAGATATCGACTTCGAGGAGGTGCATCAGACCACATACACAAAAAAGCATAGAGGCACTGGCGACTGGCTAACACGAGAGCCCAAGTTCCAAGAATGGATGCAAAGCCCGCATTCATCTCTATTATGGTGCAATGGAAAGCGTAAGTGTGATTGTACCATTTACCAATAAGAACGTACTAACCTTTGATAGCTGGTATCGGAAAATCTGTGCTCAGGTAAGTTTGCAACCCACCATCGAGTGTTGGGTCTTTTGCTGATTGAACACATAGTTCGCATGTCTTAGAACACATCACGGCCGAAGCTGGATTACGAGAAAGAACGGCCATCTGCTTCGCCTACTACAATTACCGTGATACACGATTGGCAAGCATTACCACGATCATAGCCACATTGATCAAACAACTCTGTCAAGGCATGCACGATATACCAGAGAATCTACTCGAAATCATGCGCAACGCTCGCTCCCCATCTCTGCTAGGCTCAAAAGAATATTTTTTCTCCCTCATGGAGAAGTCTTCAGAAGTCTTCGTTGTTTTTGATGCTCTCGATGAGTGTCCAGAGGAGAGACGGGAGGATGTCCTCGGCTTCATCACTGAAGCGGTAACTATGCCGGCCCCGCATTGTGTAAAGATATTTGCCACCAGTCGGAGAGAGATGGATATCACAGAAGCCTTTTTGAAAAAGAATGTGCCAACAATCCAAATCTCGGCTGATAGTGTTGCGGCCGATATTGAGACCTTTGCTCGCAGCAGAGTTGAAGAGCTTGGATCTGGGCAGCATGGAAAGACCCTCTACATTACCAGCGATGATCTCAAGGAAGAAATTATTCAGACACTCGCTCAAAAGGCCGAAGGAATGTGAGTTTTCGTTCAGCAGCCAGACCAACGGCGTCTGTAGGCTAAAGTTATAACAGATTTCTTTGGGTCAACCTTCAGCTGGAAAATCTTTGTCAAGCCAGCAAGGCTCAAAATGATGAAGTGGTGAAGGAAGCACTGCATACACTTCCCCGGGACTTGCCGGACACCTACATTCGAATTCTGGAGCGGATCGAAACTCAATCTCCGTACATGAGAGATCTAGCAATCAGATGTCTAGCCTGGGTACTCTATGCTCAGAGGCCCCTCGAAACCCAAGAATTACAAACCGCCCTTGCAATCAACTCGAAGTGTAAAACTCAAGAAGATTTAAGACCCATCTCCCTAAAAGTCATTCTTGAAGCTTGTGGCAATCTACTAGAAGAAGCCAATAGAGTGACACGACCTATCCACTACATAGTACAGGAGTTTCTGACGACCGCTGTTCACGGGCCACTACAACATAAGATACGAAGACAGCTTCTTGACTCAAAATCTTTGCACAAAAATTTGAGTCTGGATTGTCTTATGTACATTGATCTGATGTCGTTTAGCAAGCCAGCTAGTCACGAATGGGAGCTTCTCGAACAAATTCGAGATCATGATCTCGCTATATATGCATATACGAGCTTCGACTATCACATTTGGAATTCTGTGGAGCCTTCTTCTGATGCTACAAACAAACTGGGGAGACTTTTGCAGAAAGACAGTTCGTGTCTTGCAGCGTTGCTACAGATAACACTCCTATCGAACGACAGTACTCGCTGGGGCTCCACGGAAAGATTTAGAAGAATAGATTTTCGGGTAACCCCTGCTACAATCATATATAGCACTAGGCTCTACAATATTCCCACCATCAAACAACGCTGGGTAGGCCAAACGCCACCAATATATGCTTTGCACCTTGCGGCCTCTGCAGGACTAGTCGATGCAATTATCCGACTTTTAGAAGAGGGCAGTGAAATTGACGAGAAGGACGGGGATCAATGTACCTCAATGTATTATGCATGCCAAAATGGCCATCTGGATATTGCTCAGATACTCGTCAATAAAGGCGCAGATATCCATGCACGAGGCGGTTACTTTGATAATGCACTGCAGGTAGCTTCATACCAAGGGCATACGCAAATAGTCCAGATGCTACTCGACGCAGGTGCTGACGTTAATCTCGAAGGTGGACTACATAGCAGCGCGCTATAGGCAGCTTCTGCTAGAGGCTATAAGAAGATAGTCCAGATACTACTCAACGCTAGCGCCAACGTTAATCTCAAAGGTAGACTATATAGCAGCGCGCTACAGGCAGCTTCTGCTGGAGGCCACGAGAAGATAGTCCAGATGCTACTCGACGCAGGCGCAGATCCACTCGAAGAATAGGATCCTTCGTCGAACTCAGAATCCGATGAAGAGGATCCTTCGTGCTCAGCAAGCGATAATGATGAATCCGACGAATCCTCTTCAGACGACAGCACAAACCAGGACCCGTAGACCCCTCACCCAGCACCTCCATCCAGCTCAGACAACAACACTGCTGGCGCACTGCAGAAGGAACCCGTACAACATCACATCCAGCCTCAACTCAACCTGTCACTTCATATCGCTACCACTCCCTTCGACTCATCTTCCTCCCCACCTACACCAACAAGAAGCAAACGACCCACTGGATAAGACTGAAGCGGAACGGTAGCATCGCGCAGTGTTACGAGAGGACAATCATGTCAAAAACAGGCCGCAAAGGATCGCGGCTTCCTTCACCTTCCCAGAGTCTTCTTTTGTGGAAATGCATTTTTTTTTCCTGGTGCGGAGAAAGGCGGAGATGGAAATTGGATTTCTGGGTGCTGTGATGGATACGGATTTGTTGTGGGTGGATGGAATGTGGTTTCTACGTTTGTTTGTTTTTTTTTCTCTTGAGAGGGTCTTTACGAGTACATCGGTTGGAGTCTTGGTGAATTCTTTTTGCTTTTGTGTTTTGGCCTAGTCCATTCGGTTCACAGATGCACTTTGTGGGGGCGTTGGATAGATGGCAATCTACTTAGAGTATACTGCGGTTGCGTTAACATATGTATGGCTTTCAACCACATGTGCTTTTTTTTAACCAAGTAATTTTTCCACTTGCAACATTGTCCGTGTCTAAGACGAGCGGATCAACTTGCCAGGCTGAATAAGCATGCGACAAAAGTGGGCGGCGACGAAGTCACAAAGCCGGAACAAATGAGGGAGAAAGATTTGAGAGGTTACGCATCAAGGCAAACTCAGACGAAGATTATGGGTCATTTTATCAAGACAAAAAGAGGTCTATTCCGCGCACGCAGTCGCTAGTATATAATGCCATATCCCCCTGTATTGTTGTACATCACCACCCAAACACAACCTCGCCCAGGCAGAAAAAAGCCATGACGCAGATTGCAGGGTATGTTTAGAAAGGGTTGTCCTCGGGAGGAATCTCGTGTGTGAAGAACTTGTCTAGGACGGGAATCTTCTTCATGATATCATCGCGCACCTTGGGAACTTCGGCGAAGAAGAAGAGGGCGAAGAAGCCGGCTACACCACCGAATCCGGCAGCGAGAGTACCGCTATTATTTGAATTAGTGGCTGGCAGGAGAGCAAAGTCTGGCGAACGTACTATCTCGCGACGGTGCCGACCGTGATGCCGTGGTAGTTCTTGGGGATGGTGTATCTGCGCCGCGTGTTAGCTCCGGAATGCTTCGAGTCGCAATCGGCTTGTCTCGGGCATTCATAGGCATGGCAACTTTATCCTCCTCTTATGGCTTGCTCGAAATGGGTGCCCTGTGGACAAATTTGTATTTCCATCACGCCAGCCATCCTGCTCTTCCTCAGTCCCTCTCACAAACCCCTTCCCCACCCCTCCCAATGCCTCATATACGCCCATTTGTCGCCGAAAATCCAGGAAAATACGTACTGGGGACCGAAGGGACTCCTGTAGGCCTTGTAGGAGCTGCGCATGCTCTATGTCGTCCTGTTAGCGTTTGCGTCATACGAACCCATACCCCGGGCCAGCCAACGTCTCAATGGCTCGGGAACAGCGACTTACGACAGCAGCGGGCGTCTTAGCATGGTGGGGGAAAGATGTGGAGGACATCTTGGGCGGATTTGTCGTGTGGTTGCGATGTTGGAGACGAAGGGCAGGGTGGACAAAGTTGAAGTTGCTCGGCGCTGCTGCGCGGGAAGCAGGGCTTGGCAGTGGAAAGTCGACGAATGAGGCGCGCCGGGATTTTGCGGGTGGTCAGCGAGCAGTGACTTTCCTTTTCAACCTTCACCTACTCATATTGGCTACGTTTCCAGACGACATAATGTACGTTTATTATCTTACTTGACATTACAGTAATATGTTTCGGCTATGTGTGCGACTACATTGAGTTTGTGGGCTTAGTCGAGACCGTTTGTACTTTACTCATTTCTGGAGTAACATTTAATTGCAAATTACAACCTAGGGCGTGCCTACTGTTTTTAAAAGACCGAAAGATGTCTTGGGTCAAGATCTCTAGTTTTACTCGAATCAGTTTGCACAACAAGGTGGTGCCCTCATTTGCATTATTAAACCGCCAACACCTCACGCACCACAACACAGATACACCATAGCTTTGGTCATTGCTTCATTTTCGCGTGACTCGAACAAGCCGATCGAGAACTATCATGTCGTCTATAGACGCTGCCTTGATTCCATCTTGCTTTCGCATGGACCCCAAGTCTAGTTGGTTGGTAGCCTTCCGACCACCTCGGCCATCTCCTCGTCGGTATAGATCCTGAAGCCCTTGTCCTTGGTGACACTCGCCAATTGAACGTTCTTACTATCCAGCTTCTCCTCCATGACCTGCTTCAGCGTCTTGAGCGTAAGAACCTCAGCCTCGGCTAGGGTCAGCGACTTGTGGAACTCGTTTTGCAACTCTGCTTGCGCGCCCTCAGATCCCGAGCCGATAGCTTTGGCATCGTAGCGGTAGAATGTACCAGAGGGCTCGGCGTGGTATCTGGAGTCTCCGTTAGTCCCAATTCCAATACCCAGACTATATCATATGACATACAGACTCGGGCCATCCTCATCGTAACCCGCAATCAACAGAGCAACACCAAACGGTCTGCTCATGATGCTTTCCTCACCCTCTGCACCCTCTCCAAACCTCAGCGCCAAATCGCATATCGCTTGCGTGCAGCTTTCGACTCGTAGAGGCTCGGCATAGTTGAAGGCGTGGTTCTGGCTCTCAACGCGGGCGTGCTCGATCATGCTTCGTGCATCGGCTTGCAGTCCAGACATGGCACAGCCAATGTGGCGGTCAATCTCGACAATCTTTTCAACCGAGCTGGTCTCGAGGAGGGTGGAGGTGACGCGCTTCTCTACACCAAGGATTACGCCCTCGCCCGTTGCTACCTGTGGGGTTGTTATGAGTCTGTGCCGGCTAGGACATGTGAACACAATGCACATACACCTATTGCTGTTGAGCCAAGCTTAATGGCTTCTAGAGAGTATTCGACTTGGAAGAGACGGCCTTCAGGCGAGAAGGTGCTGTGTGTGTGAGCGGGGGTTTTGAATGTAATTGCATTGGGGTAACCAACTTGATACCGCGGTCTGAGAACCATTGTTAGCAGTTGTATAAACAAGTGGAGATATTACAGACTTACCATATTCGCTTCGTGCTATGAACTGCTCATGTCAGTAAAGAGCTCTAGCGGGGGCGCGGGGAGACGCACCATGGCGGGAGTTTGTGCAGGGAAATCCTTAGAAGTCGCGAATTGAGGCTACAGATATGTCTCTCACAGCGTAGCAGAGAGAGTAGGTATCAAGATGGCAGTGTGGTGTAGCAGAGCTGAGTTGGCGACTTGGTGTTTCCGAGCTTGACGGAGCTGCAAGGCAACATGAGCCGCGACACGGCGCTAGAGCGGGCTGCCAAGACTTGCGCCCATCACCAACTCGACTCCGATATGGGGAACTCCAGTCTCGCCATGTCACGTGCCTCTCTACCAGTGCTTGGACCGGGTAGTGTGGTCTATTCCACTATACGCCGTCTGGCTCATGCGCAAAGCACCGCCACCCAGCCCTCCCAGTCGTCGTACGAATACCTCGGGTGATAGCTGCACAAGTCTGTATCACTGCAAATTAAGGAGAGAAGGATCAAGCAAGGACAATTTGCTCAGTGGTGTTTGATTTGGACTTTCACAACTGTACGCATTTTCACATATCAAGTAGTATCCAGTTGGAGGCAGTCTGGCCATAATATCTACTGTCGGCTGTATCGATGGTTGTCTATTGGGTGTGGGCGTGCAGTATCATATAGTTCGGACCAAGGAGTGCCAAGTCCAACTAAAAGACAGCCAAACAGCTAGAAGACTTCACATGCCTTGAGATAACTCCTCGTCACAAGCCATATGCTTTTCACCATCGACTTTACCTCTCGCTTCTGTCGTGTGCGCGGCTTCTAGACCCGACGATTGTCGGCATGGCTCAAAGTCCGAGCCATGTGTTAGAGACCATGTCTCCTGAGTTCGGACCAGGCACGCTATCCACGTCACTATATTCCCTCTCATTATACGGTTTGCAAACCAGCTCGCAAAATCGTCCGCATGCATGCAACGTAACCCAAGTAACACGCGTCGACTAACGCTACGACAACCAGGCCATGTGTCTATGACAAATCCGTATAAGGAGGTTGCACGTGGCGGGGAAAACCCGATACTTTCTTACATATAGGTGCAGATATCGATTAAAAGGCGATCCAAGCCCAACGCCAGCTGCCGCACACACAAGACATGATGTTGCGCAGGCAAATCCCATGATCTGTGCAAAAGTCTTGTTCCCCGTTCCGGCCGCCGGTATCGACGAGAGATTATTTTTATCCCAGGACAAGGGAGGGGGGGCACTTGACGTAGGCTGGCGAGGCGTTGAAGTATTGCCTCCCCACATCGGCTAATTAATAGCGGAACCCGGGATCAAGAGACAACCTCCTTAAAGCGTTTGTAAAAGGCCCTATGACATCAACAATCGGGTTTGACGACTGCAAGAAAAGGAGTTGGATGCTGTGGACGTCGTGACACTCAAAAACAAAGACGCTTGATGCTATCTCTATTCCTGTTTTCTCTCTCACCCGCATAGTTGGAAGCGATTGCGATCGAAAAACCGGGGGTAATGCGCCATGTTCGATCACCACAAGCATTTACTGATGCTCATTCGGTACGGAACATGGACACTAAATCCGCCTTTGCCCCGTGCGGCTAATGCACGTCCGGAAGCAGGGCCTAGGTCGCCTCCATGGACATGCAATGGGCAACTACGCCCCAAGCCAGGATGGATGGCAAACGTCACTGGCAGATAAATATTTGCTTTCCGCACCCTCTTTTTTGTTTCTTGCTCATCGCCCTCTTCGGCTTTCCCTAATAAACCTAGTTGTAATTCCACTCATTCATATCCTACTATATTACTACAACTTTCGTTTTACCTAATACTACTACTACGCAAACATGCGTCTTTCATCGACCATCCTGGCCACGGCGGCCCTCCTATCCTCGGCCAACGCCGCCCTCAAGGGCTTCAACTATGGCGCCCAATTCGCCAACAACCAGCCCAAGCGCCTCGTCGACTTCGAATACGAATTCAACGCTGCTAAACAACTCCCCGGCACCAACGGCTGGACCAGCGCCCGTCTCTACACCATGATCCAGCACGGCACGCAAAATTCCATCATCGAAGCCATCCAAGCGGCCATCAACACCAAAACTACCTTACTCCTCGGCATGTGGTGCTCAGCCGGCCAAACAAACTTCAACAACGAAATCGCCGCCCTCAAAGCCGCAATCGCCAAATACGGCACCGCTTTCACAGACCTCGTGGTGGGTATCTCGGTCGGTAGCGAAGACCTCTACCGCATCACGCCCACCGGCATCGAAAACAAGTCTGGCCCAGGAGCCCAGCCCCAGGAACTCGTCAAGTACATCAAGCAAACCCGCGATGCGATCCGCGGTACCCCTCTGCAGGGAAAGCCCATCGGCCACGTCGACACATGGACTGTGTACGTCAACGGCTCCAACTCGGCCGTCATTGACGCCCTCGACTTCATCGGCATGGACGCATACCCATACTTTGAATCTACCCTCAGCAACAACGTCGGAAGCGGCAGCCAGCTCTTCTTCGACGCGTACCACAAGACGCAGGCTGCGGCAAAGGGCAAGGCTCTCTGGGTTACCGAGACGGGTTGGCCTGTCAGCGGAAAGCAGTCGGGTCAGGCGATTGCTAGTCCCCAGAACGCCCGGATCTACTGGGAAGATGTCGTGTGCCAGCTTGTCAAGGATAATGTCCCGCTTTACTACTATCTCCTTCAGGATGTCCAGTGGGGTACTCCCTCGCCTTCTTTCGGTATCAAGCCTGGAGGTGATCTCATGAGCGTTAAGCCGCTGTATGATCTTTCTTGCCCTGCCAAGAAGCAATAGATTAGGGGATAGCTAGATGACGGTGAATCTGCTGGAGAGTAGCCCGTAAGAGAAAAAAAAAGTTGGTTGTGCTGAGGTCTTCATCCTCGCACCTTTCTGTGTACATAATCGAAACCATTTTTCTTATGAAGCCAAAAAAAATAAAACAATTAGACTTATTATACCTACATCTCTCTCTCTGTCTCTCTCTCTCTCCTTCTCTCTCTCTACAAATCCTTCTCATGTGGAAACAAGTGTTGTTAATTAAAAGTACTTGTTCTTATCCTCTATTACTCTCCATCACATGTAGGAAATATATATCATCAAGTATGTAGAAATGATAGCACGAAAATCAGTAATTGTATTTTACACGCGCCCCCCCCCCCCCTCCCCTTTGAATTCCCCCATAATCCATGCTTGCACATGATATAAAAAAACCCCAGCGATACCAGTACCCACGAACCCGCCCACCACCACTATTTTCATCTTGTTGTTGTTGTTTGCTCTCGACATAGCTAAGAACCGTGTAAATCAAGAACTGGTAAAGTCGTGCAATTAATCTTCTTTTTTTTTTTTAAAAAAAAAAAAGCACACATGGTTTGAATGATAAAACAGTAGTAATATTGCGTCACCTGTCAAAACGGCCCGACTTTTTGCTCTCTCTCTCTCTCTCTCTCTCTCTCTCATATCATCTCTCACTCACTCAAGCGCACAAACACACACACACACACAAGTAATAAGATTTCACAAAACACTGTAATTTTATTTAAACTTTGCAAGAGTAATAACGAGAAAAAAGAAAAGAAAAAAGAACCCAAAAAAAACAAATAAAGTTCCAAGTTTCTCAAGCCAAAACCCTTTCCGGCAACACCCAATAAAACTCCAAATTACCAAATTCCACTCTTCCCTCCTCTCCCGACCTCATTCTCATTTGTATGTGTGTGTGTGTGTGTGAGAGAGAGAGAGAGAGAGAGAGAGAGAGAGAGAGAGAGAGGAAAAAGTTAATGGTAATACATGCGGTATACAACACATCCTTCCTTCCTCCCTTCCTTACAACGCACCGCAGGCACTCTTTTTTTTTTAAGAAAAAAAAAAGCCCCAAAAAAGAGAAAGAGGTTTACACTAGGTGGACGATTGTGGGGAAAAAAAGAAATTAAAGAGGAGGTTCTGGATAGAAATCATATTTTCATGGTTCACATTCATGCGCCTCCCGCTCGGCCGGTCGTCGTGGCCGTTGAAGGCTGATCGTTATTCCAGGTGAGATAAGTGTGGTCACCCAATTTCCTGATAGTGACAGTATTAGCAAACACGTCTGCATCACAATCAACTTCGCGTGAAGACTAACCTGGGCTTGACAAGATGTGTAGCAAGGAAGACAGCACCAAGCACTATGCAAAGGCCGCCAACAACCAAGTACGCAATGCCGAGGAAGGGATTCTTGCCTCCCATGACGGTCCTGGTCGAAATCAAAATCGACTTTGTACCAGCGTATTTGTCAACGGGGAAACCTAGCGTGGAGGGGTTAGCTTGTGTCATTTGCATGCATTGGTGCAGCAGCAAACGTACGGTCATAAATCTTCAAACGATAAGTACCAGCTCTCAAGGTATCCTTGTCGTTGCGCTGGTAGAGTTTACTGAAGGTCGGCAATCCTGCCGTTCGCATCCATACTTGGAATTGCTCCCAGGTATGCAGATCCGGCAGCTCATCGGTGTATTCTCCATTGGGGTATTGATCTTGCCAGTTTGGAGGTGGAACAACCTCATTGGGCTTGTATTTGGTCTTGCCATACAAATCCCCCTCGTGGCTCCATGATGTGCCCTCGGTTGTCATGTTGTACGAGTTGATTTCATTGCCGTCTGCGTCCTGCACGGCATTGTCCAAGGTCAGGTTTCCAAAGGTGTCATTGAACATGGAATTGGCAATGAGTCCGCAAGGGTAGTAGGGCTTTCCGTTGGGCGCTACAGCCAAAGGATCACAGTCGCCAGAGTCGAGAGCGCTGGCACTCCTGGCGTCACCCTTGAGCTGCTGGATATCAACCGACTTGACGTATCGACGGTGGTTCTGGTAAAAGTTGGTGAGGCGGTAGTAGAAGAGAATCGGTGGGGCAATATCGGCGGGGATAGTGAAACTCAGAATGCACACGTTGGTCTCGAGGGTAACGCCCTGGGGTTGGAATGTGTAGTTGTCCCGTGCCCAGCCCCACTGAGGTGCCGTCTGCATTTGTTTTCCGTTGAAAGATGCGGATACTCTGCCCGAAGGAATTGGCTCGAGGTCGTTGCCTAGACTTGCATTGTAATCGAGCCTAGCTTGAGGCGCCGTGCTGTTGCAGTTGGTATAGTCGATGGAAATCTCCTGGACCTGCGCACTAGCGTAGATGAGCAGCCCACCGATGGGTGCGAAGATGACTCCGACAATGAAGAAGAGCGGGAGGACCGTCTTTGGGGTTAGAATGGGTCTGTCGCATTGTCAGCCGTTATTCGTCCTGGAGTCAGTTTTGCCCAGAAAAACGCACTGCCATGCCTTTAGACGCTGCTGTCTAAAAGCAGTATCTATAGTCGCGTTAGCACTACCGTCGTGTGCGCACTGCAGCGTGAGTGTCCCAGGCTCGTCTTACTTGGTGGCCTCTTGCTCTTTGCCTTCTTCGGCTCGTCACGGGCTGGGTCCTGGCTGCTTATCGAGTCGGTGTTGTCCACCTGCTCTGTTCGCGACATTGTGCTGAGTGCGCGCGAAGCGAAGCAGCGGGCGAGTTGGCGGGTGTGGGTATGTACAGTCGTTGGAGTGTAAGAGGTGATGAGAAGGCGCGGCGGGTTGGAGCGTCCGGCCAAGGCGTCGTCCCAAATTAGGTACAGAAGAGGCCGCGCCACGCCTGCGGAGCTTACATATCCCCGCTCGCGTCCCGGACCCGAGACCCTGAACCGTCCGTTACGCGGACGTAGTCAGGAGATTGAAGCCCCAGCCAGCATGACCTCAAACCCTGGTTGCAAAAGAAACGTCAAGTATTGTCATCGGTGTGCATCCGTTGCGAGTCACATAGATTATGTATCCATATATTCACCAATGTACTGCAATCACACACACACACACAGACACGCCGTGTATCTAACAAATAATTGTATTCTGGTCTAATACTACCAAAAAAGGAAAGCCTGCATGTGCGGCGTCAAGAGCCTCTGAAAAGATCTGTATAGTATCAATTCGTGTGAGCTGGGGGGGTATCGCATGCCGTAGACAAATAAGATGACGAGTCGTAACAACAACAGCAATAGGACGAAGAACAAAGACACAAACGCCAAAGGGAGGACGGCGGCCAGTCCCAAACGCCTACCCATGCCAACAACAAACAAAGACCCTTGAAAAGAGACAGGGATGGAAAACGCCAATCGTGAAATCATGCCGAGAGCGACAACTGTCGCATCAATCAACTCGGAAGTAGAACCGACTCATGCAAGCTGGGGCCGTGACGATGCTATGCGCAAATTGGGGCATCGTGGAAACAAAAAGCTCTCCATTGAAGGAGACGGATAATGATGGAAAAGTACCGTGACTTTGTATGTGTGTGTGTGTATGTGTGTCGGTGGCGAGAGAATTGTAGTGAATGCTCTTAAAGGTATTGACGAAAGTAGTCTGGGTTAAACCAGCCGACGCGGTCGTACGACTGCCACAGTTTACTGGCCTTGTTGACATCAATTTTGCAGGCCTGCTGGGCGTCGGTCTTGCGGAACTCTTTGCCAATTCTCAATGCTTCAATGCGAGCTTGAAAGATGCGACGCTTGCTGGTCAAGTAGGTGGCACAGTTGAGGCGCAGGGTGCCTGCAAGGTTGAGTTCAGCCTCGTGCAGCAGGTCGCGATCGGGATCGTCGGCGAGCGAGAGGGCCTGGCCCTTCCACTCGGCCTTGAGAATCTTGGAGTTGCCCTTGGGCAGCGTGTCGAGAGGTGGCGAGTAGTCGGGGATGGCATTGTAGTCCGAGTCGTCACGATTCGTGGCTGGTCGCGCAGGTTTGGGAGAGACCGAGACCGATGCGGTGGGCTTTGGTGCAGGGTCAAATGACTCGTAGACCTGTGCAAGGGGGCTGCGCTTGGCCTTTGGAGCGCGAGGAGTACGGGGAGGTATCCGGGGAAGAGCGACCTTTGGCTGGCGGGCTCTAACGGATGGTGCGGGAGCAAGCTTCTTGAGGGCGGTGCGCTTTTGGACACCGGTCGGGCGACCGTAGTAGTCGTCGAAACGACGCTCCTGAGCCCACCAGTGTCGGGGGTTCTTGGTGGCCGAGGCAAAGACGTTTGAGCGGAATGAAACCGCCAATTCGTAGTCGGCGCGCGAGGGCTTGGAGTGCAGGCGTGCGTAGTCGTGCGACTGCATGTGGTGGGTGATGGCGTCTTGCGAGGCTGAGTCTGCTGAAGAGGCAGCTGAGTCCTGGGGGAAGAGCGGTATGTCGGCGACGGAGAGGGCGGCGTCCTGGGCGACAAAGAGCTGAGGGTCGCGTGTGCCGGCTTCTGCGACAGTGTCCATGGTGTCCTTTTGGGAGTGGGAGTCGTATGGCGAGATTGGGGGGGAGACGTAGGCGATGCGGTGAGTTGCTGCCTGGCAGGCGCTGAGGGAGGCGTTTGTCATGGGCTTCAATTGGACTGAATTGAAGGAGGTGGATGGCGATTGAGTAGAGGCAGAGGCAATTGACGAGCCAAACGACTCTGATCGCTTCATCTCTGGGGGGGAGAGGAGGGAAGAGACGGTGAGGCGGGCAGTTGGGGGTGTCTTATGAGGCGAGTTTGCCATTGCGTAGTGTGGTCAGAAGGTTTGTGCTTTGACTAGAAGCGAATGCCCCGGGCGGCGGTAGCGGTATTTGAAGGGGGAGGGGGGGAGCGATGGCAGCAGGCTGAGGGAGCAACAATGGCTTGGAGGGAGGGAGAGGAAGGGGGGGGGAGAATAATGTGGCAGGGCCAACTGTGGGTGGGCTCTGGGACGAGCCTACGGCGTTGCCACCGTTATATCGTCAGAAAGCAGCAGGCAGCGAAGGTTGAGCGTGGAAGGCGGCAGAATTGCCCGAAGCAGCGGCTTATGCAATTGGGGCGGGCAGGGCGATTATTAGTCAAACCGCAGGACCGGGCAGGACAGGTCAGGATGGAATTAAGTGTACAGACAGGGCCGTGGGTGTGGGCGTGGGCGTGGCCGAGTGAGCAGTGCGGAGTTATGGAATCGGAGCCGGACGTGGAAGTGGAGTGGCCAGAAGCAATGCAAGTGCAGCACAGCAGCGACAGCAATAGCTGGAATGATGGAGGCTTGATGAATGGAATGGCATTTGCATTGGGGAGCGAGGCAATCTTGCCGAAACCGGACGGAATTATAGCCATGCAGCCAGCCAGCCAGCCAGCCAGCAGGCTTGGGGGGCAGCGGTTTCAAGCAGGCTACAGCATGCGAGCCAGGCCGGTGTGACTCTGGCTTTGAGACAGACTGGCGGCCATGTGCTAGCGGACCAGACAAAGAGGGTGTGCGGTTGGCGCGTGCCATGGTGCGGTGCAGCAGCCCATGGCATGACGGCCATGATCAAGCACCAGCAAAGGGCAGGGCCAAGGGCGCGCGGCCGGGAGCGGGCAGCCATGGGTAGCGAACAGCGGCGAGGCTGACCAATGCCCTCAGCCAGCGTACATGCCGGGTGCACATTGCAGTCAGAGTCAGAGCCAGAGAGAGAGGCAGAGGAGTCGCGGCTTTTGGCTATGCGCATCCACGGCTCCGTGTCGCCCAGCAGCGCCAACCCCGGCTGGGCGGTGACGGGCCCCGTAACCGTAATCTCTCAATCCAGCATTCAATGTACGGCAATCCCTACTACCCACCAAGTACCCTACCTCCCTAAAGTCACTACTCTACTCTACTCTATACTCTCTCTCCCATTGCGCCCGCCCTGCAGCCCATTGAGCCCGCCCGAGCTGCGGCTTTTGCCATTGCACCCTCTCTCTCGGCTTCCGGTGGAGGAGCTGGGCCACACGGGCTTCCGTCATCACACTCGGCTGCCCTTTTGTCTATTACTAGACCAGCTACTATACTGCCTAAGTAGCGTACATGCGGCTAGTCGAGTCTGACCGCCATGGGGGTTATGCAGACATGACCATGGCTGCAAGGCCAATTCACACCAATTGCCTGTCTTGGCCCCCGTGGCTGACGACGGCCACGGCCACGGCCACGGCCACGGCGACTACTGTGTACTGTCTGCTTGTGCTCGTATGGTGAGTAAGTGAGTGAGTGAGTGAGCACAGTCAAGGGGGCGGGCTGGTCGCCCGTCAGCGGCGGCTGCCGACAATTACTTAGCTGGCTGGCGTCGGAATTCCATTCTAGTCCTTGTAGTCAGGGTCTTGTGACTGGGCCGTCTCTCGCTCTCGCCTCTTCCCTTCCTGCCTTACTCGCCTTACTCGCCTTCCATTTCCATGTCTTTCTCCCCCAAGCGCTGTAGCCAGCGCCACCCTCTCGCATGTGAAAGCCTCCTCCCACCCCTTGGGTGCCCCCATCACGCTCAGGTGGCCAGCCGACGAGGTCATCCACAGCCCGGCGCCTATTCCAGTCAGACAATCCCAACCCGTCGCAACCCAAGGCTGCTCACGAGACGCAGCCCTGTCGACACCATCTTTTCCATGTGTGGTGGGTGGTGAAGGATGAAGGGGGGGGTCATGCTCATGCGGCCATGGCAGCAACCCTGGCGAGCGGGTGTGTTATCGTCGTTATCGCCCTGTGGGGGAGGAGGGGTTCGCGCTGCAAGGCACCCACGCACACGCGCCCGCTAATTCCCGCCGCTGGCCTGTCCGGGCCTTGATTGTCCTCTGATCTTCATTGTTCTTCTCCAAGTAAGTAGTGTGGTTATTTATGTACACAGGTATTGTTGTATTCACTGCCATTGTGCGCATTGCTATGCCATACTCAATATGCGCATGCACCCCCTTACATTCAACACCCCCATTGCTGCCGCCGCCGCTGCTGCTGCTGACTCGGCGCTCCCCGAAATGCAATGCACCACGGCCGTCACTTGCAATTGCACCTTACCCAATGCCTCTCTGGACTAGCGGCCCGATCTGCACTTGTCGACAATATCCACTCTTGACAGCTGGTCAGCCGATAGGCCAATGCAGCCAGATGATCCCGTCGTTCGCTGTCCCGTCTTCTCTTCCAGATGATGCGACGCCTTGGGGGTCCCTGCATCCGCCCAATCTGCAACCCGCCACCTGCGAGCACGACAAGCAAAGCCTGCTGCTTGTGCTTGTCCTGCTTGTACTTACCTACTGCTACCTCGCTTCAATTGCATCCTCCACATCACATCCACGTAGTCTTTGCCTAAAATAGCCAATCCACCCCCATCGCCAGCACAACCACGGCAATCAATCCCACAGGTACACATGTACAAAAAGGTACGTATACACGTCTACGTGCTCGCGACAAAAAACAATTGCCCAGCATCTAGACCCTTCCGATCCAATTGTCCTCTCCGCATCGTGACGTAGCCCATTCTCTCTAATCAATCTGACATGACATGCTCGACCACGCAAGCACCCCCCCTGCCGCCCATGTCGCCATTTTTTTTCTGGTAGTGATGAAGTCAATGCCATGTTGTCTTGTCTCCTGTCCTACGACAGTACTGGCATACTCTTCACGTGCTTTCGGGGACCAAGCGTCACCCCCATCTCAACTCGACCTGCCACCATCGCCGTGCCGTTCCCCCCCCCCCACATACGTCATACCGCTAGGACAAGGGGCCCTACACACCATGTGCCCACACCGATAATCACCAGCAATGTCTCTGCCCGAACTGCCTACCAATCGTCGATTCTTAACTCGGCTATTCAATTCGCTAGCTGCACCACCACCAGCACCACCAGCCCCGTCATCACCTGATGCCGCCGCCTCGCTCACCGACGACAAGCACCACCCCAACCCCCTCGATAGCGTACCACTCGCGGTGAAGAAACAACTACTTTCCTTGCAAGTTCTCTTCCCAACCGAATTCGTTCCCGCGCTAGACGTCCTCGACCGCCACCTAGTCACTCGATTTCGCATCCGAAACCATCCGTCTCCTTCTGTGCATCGACAAGATGGACACCATTATGCCGACGTGGTGATGCGACTAGGCGGTGACGACGACGACGGCGACAATGATGAAGAGATGCACATGAGTGATGATGCACAACACAAAGATGCGACGCGTACATCTACCACAAAACACACCTCCCTCCCTCACGAAGAAGCAACATCGACAACATCAGTACCCGTAAATGTCACAACTTCTGCTTACGACAACACCAAATCATCAATCTACTACGTTCAATCCGCCCAGCACCACCGCTCCTCCCGCTACTCCTCCACTTCCTCCTCCTCCGACCAAACCCCAACCTACCAAGTCCGCCTCACTACCTGGTCCTGCTCCTGTCCCGCCTTCACTTTCGCCGCCTTTCCTGCTAACCCCTCACCACCCTCTACTCCCCTCGCTAACCATCATGACAATGACTCCCATGAAAATAATGACACACCACAAGACCACCCCTGGATCTTCGGCGGAATAACACTAGGCGATGATATGCCCCCCGTATGCAAACACCTGCTAGCCTGTCTACTCGCTGAAAAGTGTAAGAACCTCTTTGGTCAATTTATCACCGAGAAAGTGGTTTCTGTAGATGAAGCCGCAGGCTGGGCGGCTGGATGGGGGGATTGAACTTGACCAAAAGAAAAATATACATCATGTTTAGATATTTGGATTATCCAGCAATACCCGCTGTTGCTCCTGCTGCTGCTGCTCCTGCTGCTCGTGTTTTTGATACCCTCCCAAACAACTTTTATTTGTTTTATTTGTTTTTTTCCTTTCTTTCCTTCACTCGTTTCATACACAAGGCAAGGCATTGATTCAACGGAATCACCATGAATCAAGGATATCTCCCTTTTTTTTTTTTTTCTTTCTTTCTTTCTTTACCATGCTCCCCTTTTCATCACATATGCTCATGGCGAAATACGGCATTATGGCTGCCATATTGTTTGATGCTGCTCGTTTCAAACACAAACATTTCTGGCCATGGCCATGCCAAGATTATGCAAACACATATATGCATATACATACACCCACTCCACTCCACTCCACTCCACTCCATAAGCATACTACTAATATTATGTCCTTTGTTCATTTCATGTCTAATCATGCCAAGCTCATGCAAGAGAAGAAAGCAAAAGAGAGAGGGAGAGAGAGAGAAACATACCGCCCCCCCTCTCTCTCTCTGCTCTTTTGACAATATCTCTCACTCTCTCTTCTTCCCCTCTTTTCCCAAAAAAAAGGCTACAAAGGGGCTTATTGTACACTAGTACACACCTAGTTGGCTACAAGGCTCCATCATCCATCCTCATGATCATCTCTCCGCCTCACTCGCCTCACTCACTCACTCAACCGCCCCCCTCCCCCTCCTTCAGCCCTTCTTCTTGGGCTCCTCCTTGCCCTTTTCTTTACCCTTGTCTCCTTCCTTGGCCTCGCCGCTCGCCTTGTCGCCCTCCTTCTTAGCCTCCTTATCCCCTTCCTTGCCTTCCTCCTTCTTGGCCTCCTTGTCCTCTGCTTGCTGCTTGTTCTGAATCTTGTTCTCAATCAGGTCGTGGAAGGCCGTAATAGCCCGAATCAAGCTCGACAAGTAAATCGCCATGAGTTGATCGTTCGTCTTGACGCTCATGGCCCGCGCAAGCTCGCCATTGTCCACACCACCTGCCTGACCCGCCGCTGATCCCACGCCATTGGTTGCACCGCCTACTGGTGCAGCCTTGGGTGTCGACAGGTTAGGCAACAGGTTGAACACATCTTGGAGATTACCAAGAATCGCGTGGTTCACAGGCAAATCCTCGTCAAGAACCTTTTGTAGATACTGCCCAATGTCTCGTAACCGTAGATGTAAGCCTTGCAGCGACTGCAGTTGTGAGGTTATGCGTGTCGAGAGCGTGCCGACAGCCACGTCGCGGATGTCACGGAGGAGGTGCTCGACACCAATCTCTTCCGCCTCCTCGGCCTCGATTATTGACGGCGTGTGCACAAACGTCTTGGATGTCGTTGTGCCGTCCTAAACGTAGAATTAGCATCGTCTTCTATATACATTACCCCGCCAGGTGCATTGCTGCTGTTGCAACAACAACAACAACAACCCCACTGAGCCAAGTGCACTCACATCCTTAATCTCCTCGACCGCAAAGTAGGCGTCTGTCGGTACCCCCACCTCCTTGGGCTGTACGTCGATAATGACTAGTAGCGGGTTTGGTGTGTAGCGCTTGAACAGCTCGTTGACCTCGAGATCCGACGCCCTCAACTTGGGTCCAGTGTGATACCAGCCGATGAGCTTCTCCCGCGCGTTGATCTTCTTGAACATGTCGTTCATCGACTCGACGTAGTTGTGGTCCAGGAACCATACCGATGGGTCCTTTTCGTCTTCCTCGAATGGCACTGCAGTCTAAAGTTAGCTCATACACACAACGCTTCCCCGCCATCGGGGCGAATTGCTCAGGCGGCAAACAACGTCTTGAGAGGGAGGGAGGGGGGGCTACACACCCGCAAAGCTGTTGGACACGCGTACGTTCTTGCCATCATTCTGCCCAAGAAGCACACCGACTACTCTCCTCTTGGTGCCCTTTGCTTGTCGGCCGTAGTGGTCTGCTGCCGAAAGAAGCACGAGAGGCGCGACCGAGACGTTGCGGGTCACGAGCGACAGCGTTTCTGCTGTGGTGGCGGGCATCCTGATGACTTGTTCCCAGTACTGCCAATGTTTCTGCTGGTTGTCTGGGAAAGAAGATGGGAGTGGTGGGTGTTGACGGGGCGAGGTGATGTCGTTATTGTTGATGCGGCTCTGCGATGGCCATCTACGTACTAAGCTTTCGGGACTGTGAGATGCTGAGTGGGTCAGAGCTCTGCACTACCATAGCTCGCCCAGCACTGCGTCAGTGAGCAACGCAACCAACCCCGGAAATCATACAACTTCAAGTCACCACTGCATATAGCACTCGCAGCTACAGAAACCACATAACATTTCAAACATTGGTATCTCAAGAAGGCGTACTAGTACATACTGCATACCTGCAGAACAGAAGCGCAAACTGGACCAAGGCCGTGCAATGGCCTCGGAGTATCTCAAAAAGAATACAACGAAAACAGAGAAAAAAATAAAAGGTGAACACTACGGGAAATGAGGCTGCAAGCCCATTCCATGACACTGAGGCTCCGTGTCAAACATCGCCGCATCATATTAAAACCACATATAGCCAAGACAGATCACAGAGTAGCAGTGGGGAAGTAGTACTGATCCCAGAGGAACTCGTAGTCTTCGATAACACCACCAACCATGTCAAGAAGAGGCTTGCCCTTGAGCTTGGAGGTTATCGAGTGGATCCAGGCCCTAGGTGTATTGTTAGCTATATTCGCCATACCCAGAATTCGGCGTGACTTACTTGGTGATGTTCTCGTAGAATGCGCCGCGCATAGCCCACCAACCCATGGACCAGCCCCGCTTACGTAGCTCTTCTTTCTCAAGGCCAGTCAAACCACGGAGTCCTCCAGCCAAGCGCTCCTGGAAATCCTTCTTGGCTAGTTGGCGTGCACCGTACTCGATGCTCACGCCAATCAACCACGGCCGCCAGCTCTTCCTGTCACCGCTAAAGTGCTGCATAGCCAAGGCGTAGGCAACGGGTCGCAGAATGTAAAGTACCTCGGCAAGCTCGCCCTTTCCACTCACTCGGTGCAGAAGCGCCTTGGGTGGTTTGATGTCGTCCGCTGTAAGTACCTTTGAGAGGAGGTAACTCGAAATGTCCGAAGAATCTGGCAAGCTAGGCATCGATAGACCAGTCCTGGGCATTGCCCAGTTCTCAGCCTCGACCGAACGCTCGCTTGGTGGTGTATCCATGCCATCCGCCGACGCCGACGACTCCTCAAGCGAGCTGGGGTCAATTTCCCGCTGAGGGAGCGGGGGGGATAGGAGAGGACGGGAGTTTGTCAGACGGAGCAGCAGCAATCGGCATACTGCCTTTACCACCTCCAGCAACACTACGACCCGCCATCGCACCTTCTCGCCCTTCCTCTTGGCTGCCATCTCCCATAGCAACTCGGTGTATTGAATCATCTGGAGTACTAGCGCGATTCGCTTATACGTGGGCGAGTGTTGTGTCCAGAACTTGGTGTATCGATGGTGCGGGGTGACAGGGTGTCGTCGCGTCCCTGGCATCTGCGCCATGGCTTTGGAGAGGAGAGAGTCGTGGTATAGGGAAAGGACCTGGACGCCGCTGTGAACTATTCGTGTGTCAGTTGAAGGAGACGCGCCGCCAACGAGCGCGCAACCTACGAGACTCTGATGCGATTTCGGATTCCCGGAAGCGTCCTGGGTGGTGTTAGCATCGTGCCAGAAAGCAGTCCCATTGAGCCATGCGCACCCGGAATGATATATGTCAGCGAACGCAGCGCAGACTCAATCTGCGTCACAGCGCTGCTGTTTTTGGTGATGAAGTCCGAGTACATGCCCAGCCATCTCGGAGGCAGTGACAGCACCTCGCCCGTCTTCTGTGTTGCTTGCTTGTACATGGCTGCAGTCGCCTCAGCCAGCGCGCTGAAAGGTGGCGCTTGTGCGGCGTGTACGTCGTGGTGTTGGTATATGCACGTGAGGACAGGAGTCGGGGCAGGGTGAAGTCATGGACTCGTTATCGCGTGCCCGGCAAAGTACCGAGGCTCCCACGGTTACTACGTTACTACCCCGGATGACACCTTCGCAACATCATTGCAGCCCCCACCCTAGAAGACATTGCGCCCCAGTGATACAGGCCTTGGTCAACGTTCAATTCACTCCAACTCATGGGTATTGCTATTAGCAAACATGAGTGAAAAAGAAAGGGGTGCCTCCACCATACACGGAGTTCGGATCTTTCATCGTTGCACATGACTATCAATAGCATCCTCTTTCTCTTCTGCCTGTATCTGGTCAACGGCACATTTGTGACAAGTCGGCACCCAGTAGCGCGTCTGCCTAACGAAACACACCAAATGTGGCTTAGGAATAGAGCTTCCTGGCACGTGACTACGCGAAGAAGAAAACCCAACTTCCATCTTCACGCGTCCGTCTGAGCGTGAGAACATACACGAACACAAAACAATTGGTCCTATTTCCACCATGGCGGGTAATGGTCAGGCTACTCTCCCTGTTCCGCAGGTACCCGTCCAGGACAGCGACAAGAAGCTCCTTGCATCGATCAATTCATTCGTCCACGAGTACATGTCAAAATACGACAACTCACACGACTACCAACATATCCTGCGCGTCTTGTCCAATGCCAACCAAATATTGCAGGCCGAGCTCAAGTCCAACCCCTCTGTGGCTTATGACACCACTTCACTGTTCCTCGCTGCCCTTTTGCACGACGTGGGCGATCACAAGTATGCGAAACCAGGCGACGACGTTGAGAACCAAATCACCAACACACTACTTCAACACGGCGCATCAACTGAATTGGCTCAAAAGGTTCAGACGATTGTGAAGAACGTTTCCTATACGAACGAAGTTCGCGACCCTGCTCACGTCGCTTCAGTGATTGGGCAGTATCCAGAGCTCGCTATCGTGCAGGACGCCGATCGCCTCGATGCCATTGGTGCCGTTGGAGTAGCTCGATGTTTCTCTTTCGGAGCAGCAAAGATGCCCAATCAGTCCATGGACAGAGCAGTCACCCATTTTAGCGAAAAGTTGTACAATCTCGCAGGAATGATGAAGACAGCTACTGGTAAAGACATGGCAAGGAGAAGACATGACGTACTAAAGGAATTTGCACGGGAGTGGGAAGAGGAGACACGCTTGAGCTTCCAGCTACATTGATTAGTATGGAGCGAATTAAGCTTTCACTACACAATGGCAAACTAGTCATTTCACAATGCTGAAGGTGTAACTGGACCGGAAGCCGTTCCACAATGCTCATCTTCTAGTCCGATAGCAGACCTTCTCAAAGAGGAATGCACCTCGGTGCCGCGATGTGAATAGACTCTGGCCCTGACGATCGCTCGGAATCCATATTTTTCCTTGATATCACACCACTTTGAACTCGCGCATCTTAACCAATGAATGTAGACGGGCCGAATGACATGCAAGACACTGTCGTACAATGTTGGTCGGTTATTGCGGCACAGGGCCCAGTGTCTACAAGAAATCTCTGAGATGGCATCCAACAAGAATACAGTCAAGTGCAGACGGGAAAGGCCTGGAAGCACGGCGGTACAATCAAATCTGTTACTCGCCTTTGCAAAGCCAAATGTACAGGGACACCCGGAAGACCATCCAGCCAATGAGTGAATGCTGCGTGACATACCCGGTTTATACGTACATTTAGCGGATGCACGGTTGTCCGTGATTACCACTCCAAGTGCGGTCGCGCATCTCCACACGCTACGTGCTTCTGTGAACTATTGCAATTGGATCCGGAACGAGGACAGCGGCCATATCTTACCGTTTTGTAATCACTGTTAGCGGAATTGAATGCTGATTGAATTTGGGAGCCAGCAAGATCCTTTGGTGCGCGCTTAACGCGGGGGCAAAGACCGAATTCTACTAATGTAAGTATCGTCGAACAACCAAGTCGGGTGTTGGACCATGACCAGACAGCCATGTAGGCTCTGCAAAGCCCCAAGCCATTGTCCTGATCGATTGAAGAAAAGGGCCCGCTCAGCCACAATTTTCAATGACAAATGTCCTGCATAGAAAAAGGCCACATATGGGTAGGGGACACTTGTTTACCGGAGGGAGATCCGACCATGATTTGCTATGCGCCCGCTACACTTGAGTCGTTAACGCTAGAAACCGCAAAGAGCGGGCTTCTGCATGCGCCTGTTAGTTATGCAGCCCTCCACTAAAAGCCACAGGAAAGTGAAACACATCATGGAGGGCAGAGGTAGTGAATTGGCTGATAAAGAAGAGGGATAACATATTATCATGGGTTATGAAGTCACAAGCATGCAAATCAGGAGGCTTTGAATGTATGACTCGAGGAGGAATGGTAAAGTATCCGTGGTAGATTGTCCCAAAAGTAAAACGCGACAGTTCGCAGGCAATGGCTGACGTCTACCTGGAAATGGGGAAATGGGGGCATCTGATTGGCGGGACGAATTGCCGTCTCCCAATCGACAATCAAAATTCCTTTTACGCTATCCAAAGACTGCATGACCATGGGAAGTAGATATTTAGAAACTTGGTCTCTGGGATCTGGGTTTGATCATCTTCAAGTTTCTAGGCCAGCAAACAAAAAATAATCCCGCCCACCCGTCGCCAGCGCGAGAACCATTTGCCGGAAGATGCGACCTCTGCGGCCACTCCTCCCGTCAGCCACGCGACCACGAAACGAGCCCCTTCCACCGCTGCCGCGAGACCGCGTCGCGTCGGCCTGCGACCAGTGTCGAGTACGCAAAATACGATGCAACGGAGACCGTCCTGTGTGTCTCGAGTGCACCAAGCGCTCCACCTCGTGCCACTATGCGACTCGCTCAGCGGAAACCCAGGGCCAAGCGCTGAAGCGAAAATACGACGCCCTGCACGCTGAAAACGAAGCCTACGCTGAACTCTTCAATCTCATAAAGACAAGGCCAGACGATGAGTCGCTCGAGATCCTGCGCCGCATCAAGATGGGAACTGACGTCAAGGATGTACTCAGACGTATCAAAGAGGCAGACTTGCTCATGCAACTCAACCCGTCAAATCCGGACCCGGATGTCAAGCCCCAATATACCCTCCCACTTGTCTCGGGCATTCCTGCACACCTGCTCAACCCGGATCCAGAGTATTACCATGCCTTGTCTACGGCTAAGCCCACTACTGCCGCTGCCACTGCCACTACCGCTACCGGTGCCGAGCAGAGCAAAACCGCTTCCCCAGCTGATTGTTGAACGTCATCCCAAGAGGAAAAAACAAAGAATCTTGCATACAACCGGCGGCTGAGATCACACAGTTTCCCAATTTATTGTAGGGTCTTTTTCACTGGACACCAAGGGAAAACATGATCTTTGCCCCCGGTTTTTTTTCAAGGAGATCGTTTTTCTGCAAACTCCAGCGGATTTCATAATGCTGGTGGCTTTTTTTTAATCTCCAGACGGAATTCTTTTATTACAGATGGATTTGGGAGGAAAGAATAAAGAGAGAGAAGCAAAGCACAGAGGTCGCAGCAGATGTAACTTTCAGATTGCTTCATTGGTGCGTTCGATCATGCACCGCTCTGGTGTTCAGCCACCTAACGTGTTTAGCATGCCTGTTGGGTGGCCGCTACGGCCCGCTCCTTCCATGCTGGGAACATCTAGGTACTTGAATAGTGTTCCCTGAACGGTCCACAGAACAGCCGTTTATGGTTCCTCGCTGCATTGTGGAGACGGAAAAACGGTCAGGGTCCTGGCGGAATTCGCTTGCGCATCATGTTCCCTGCAAGGTAAAGCAGCATTGATTCACAGGAGAACGTGTGTAACTTTCCCTTACGGAATAGTACAACGTTTACTACAGCAACATCACATGCAACCAATCATCGACATCGAGACGTGTATGAAGAACATTACGATTTTGTTTCCTTTGATGGTCCTATCTTTATCCTCTAGGTAATACACGCACAACTGAAACGCTCAATAATTAAACATCAATACTATCCATGAGGGCACGAATAAGAATGGTTCTATTGTTTCATTCTTATAAGAATTCCGTTTCTCTCTCCTCCATTCAAGCACCGATGGCCTGAGGGTTCCAAAAGATACCCTTGGGATCGACCTTTGCCTTGAGCTCAGTCAAGCGCGCTGTCACCTCCTCACCATAGTACAGCTTGTGAGCAGTGGCAGCATCATACGTAGGATCAACGTAGTTCAGATACGCGCCGAACTTTGTCTGAGGCTCAGCATTAATGATGGCATCGTTGATGCCGTTGATGAAATCCTTGGGTGTAGCGCCGTAGCCCCAGTTCTGGAACACCCACAGGCTCTTGCGGTCGTCGTAGGCGGCGAAAGAAATGTCCTTCTTGTTGATGGCGGAGCCGGGTCCACCGTACAGGTTCATGATGATGTACCACTCTTGAGAAGTACCAGACTGGAGGTGGTCGTAGAGCGCGCCAATAGCCTCGGATGTAAGACCGCTAGATTCGGGGACAGTTACAGACTTGGCGAAAAAGTCTTCGTGGTCGTCGTAGCCAGTTGCGGGTACCTTGATGGTCGTCTTGCCGGAAATCTTGACTAGGTAGTCGTACCAGGCCAAGGACTCAACAGAGGGGTTAGAAGGTGTAGGGAGGCCGCGGAGAAGCTCAGGCTTGATCTTGTTGTTGAATTCGTCGACGGTGCCAAAGAAGGCGCCGCTCAGACTATAGCCCTTGTAGCCGTCAAGGTAGACACCAAACGAGATACGGTTATCCACAACCGAGTTGTTAGTAGCTACATCTTGGAGGTGGAGGAAGGTTTTGGTCCAGACGTCCTTGGAATCGTGAACGCCCTGAAATCCAAACGAAAAGTACGTGATGCTGTCTGGGGCAGCATGGGTCTGGAGGTAAAACTTGGTGACGATACCGAAAGAATCAGCAGCACCCCTGATAGCCCAGAAGAGGTCGGGCGATTCAGTGGCTGACACCTTGACGAGCTTACCATCAGCGGTAACAACCTCAGCACCGACGATCTGGTCCATAGCAAGACCCCAGTTACGCGAAGTTTGACCGTAACCTCCATGGGTATAGTGACCTCCGATACCTACGCCAGGGCAGGTACCATGAGCGAGAGCTGCCTTGCCTTGGTTATAGATTCCGTCACCAAGGTTGCCCAGGCGAACACCGCCGCCAACTGTTGCAATACCAGTATCTTTGGCAAGCTCGATAGTCTGGAAAGACTGGAGGTTGATCTGCATGGCACCATTGATGCCACCGGTGTTGAAGTTGGCATATGAATGACCACCCGACTTGGCCTGGCACTTGATTCCTTGCTCACCAGCGCAAATAACAGCATCTTGGACATGCTGTTCAGTGGTTGGCAGGACGATGACGGCAGGGTTGAAGGGTACGCGCAAGTTGTAGGGCTTCGCAAGCTTGGCGTATTCCTCGTCGCTGCTCATCTTGAAGGGCACATCCTTTCCATTCAAACACTTGACAAGACCCTCGGGTGCTGCCACCGGTGAAGGAGCCGGAGTTGAGGGTGAGGACGAGGGCTGAGGGCTGCTACCATCGTCACACGTTCCGAAGCCAGACTGGCATCCAGTTCCACACTGTCCGCTGTTAGCCTCAAAGTCGTGTTGTATTCCACAAGCTACTCACCCATGCTGAACCGGTTCCGCACCAACCGTATTGCGAGCAGCAATCTCCAAACGCAGAACCCTTGCACGTCTGACCGGCAGTTCCGCCGCATGATCCGTCAGTCGAGACGTCCCTCCTGTCTAGCACTGCGGTGGGCGTGGCCGATACGACGACTAAGCCCACGGCAAGAGGAATGAGAAACTTCATGCTGTTGGCGGAGGAAGAATTAAGGTTGTGCCGTGGAGAATGGCGCAAGGTGAGAATTAAGTATTGATTCCACCGTCAGCAAGATATTACCCCAACCAGGGGTAGGGGATAGTGAACAAATTAAGGAAATAACGGCTTAGACGGAGGAACGCACGATGCCTACACTAGCATGGGATTGTCAAGGCCGTGAAGAAGAAGCTTTGCTCAGAGGGAAAGGGTGCTTTTAAACAACTGATCTGCGGTGGTAGTCGCCTCCTTGCCGTTGTTTTGTGTACCTGCATCAGGCGTATGCCCTGGCGTCGATCCACCGGATACGACAAAATCTCATCGATTACTCCACGAGCCAGCACCCAATTCTGCTTGCTAGAGGCAGCGCGCATTGTACCCATCGTAAACTAATGGGTGGCCTAGGACCTAATACGAGCTTACTTCGCCGAGCCCACGGCACGGACGGCCGCGACGAAAAGTAATCCCTGATCCTCGTCGAAAAGCCAATGGCCACGACACATCTGGAGGAAAGCCACAATGTTATACAGCATTGGACGAGTCTTGTAGCGTCAACTTTGTGCTGAAAGACAACTGTATACGTGTTTTGAACACGTGCGACACGGCGCTGTCGGTCGCATTAGACTTCCGGTAATTTGGTCGCTTGAATTCCGAAGCACTGATTCGCCACCCACAACATGAGAGGGTGAAGAAAAACCGTCAAGGCTTAGCTTTGGCCGTTATTACCTTAGTTGTGGAGTATAATTAGCGGGCCCGAGTGGATGTCGGTGCCAGGCGGAAGCACGCCCCACTCCGACTGTCTATTTTTGGCAGTCCAAAGTTTCCAGAAAAAGGAGACTCAGAACGCCAATCGACATTCCCATAGGTGACGTATTACACTGCTATTCGTACATGTCCAGCGGGTCAATACTGTTGTGGCTTGCAATGTGTAGTATGTACCCTATAGCATTCTAATGTTGCAAAAAATAGAAAAGACACGTTGAACGCCTGACCGCCAAAACAAAGCCCCCAACTTGAACCCACAATGCTACCCGAATCTGGCACTCCAGCTCTCTCCAAGACAACAACTCAAAACTCTACCAATCCTCGTGGCTCATTGGCCGTGGGTGGATCGCCCCTCTTCCAAATTTCCTGGACGATTGGCGGGTCACTCTCATCAGTGGGATCGGTGCGGAGGATCCTCTCTACCTTGTCATTGCGAGTAAGAGCTGGGAGCTCCCAGTTCTTCCTGCAGTATTCTGTCAGCTCCATGCCACTATGCCTCGAAACCAATACGATGACCTACCAAGTGTTGTCTTGGTTGAGCGTATCGAAGTTTACATCGGCTTTTGTAAAGATCCACACTTCTCCTTGACTCTCCATAGCCATGGCTTGACTGAGTAGTTTCTGATAGCTGACTTGTCTGCCCGCGCTCAAGGCGGGCCAGATGGCTGCTTCGTAACGTTTGTCCACGATATCATCGAAGAATACCGCGCCAAGGTTACCCTGCGGGTTTGGGACCGGCGCAATCAGGTCAGGGTGCGTTTGGACCCAGCACTTGCTTGTCTTGATCGCCCCGCCTGCCCCAAGAGCAGTATAGAAGGCGGGTCTTCTGGTAGCTACTTGGCCCCAGCGCTGGATCTGAGTTTGCAGTTCCTCGAGTGGGGGAACGCTACCATCGCATGTCGTGGGGCCTATATCGTCTTCTTCTTCTTTGCTGGGGAAGCAACCGCGGCGAACAAGATGATTGGTAGTGACATTGACATCTTCGACGTCTGTACTGTATAAAACATGCTCAATCTGTCTAGGGAGCTCAATGGTCGTTGTAACTGCTGGTATTAGTATGTAGGAGTATAGGAAAGTTTATGATACCTACCGGCACCAGGAGGCAGAGGAGCGGGCGCTGCATTGGTAAATGGACCAGCAGCACTCCAGAGAAGTGCAAGAGAGATGGGGAACGCAAGAAGAGATTGAAACCTCATGTTGTGCTAAGAACGAGACGGACTGCAATAAAGGAAAAAAGTGAATGAAGGTGATGTTGCTAAGGAGATTGGAGACAGTGTACTGATGGGAATTCAGGAAGATATTCAGATGCAGTTATATGCTCTTCTTTCCTTTTGTCTAAGCGCTGGAGACTGTATACTCATTCTATCTATGAAGCTTACTACCAAGCCACCCCATGAAATCAGGCAGGCCGTTTCAAGAGCGACATGGATGGTGTTGGGAAAGTATCTATCAGGGCCTTACTACGCAGTCTCTTTACACGCATCCTCACTCTGAATTTAGGCCACTTTATCTAATTATGGCAAGGCGCTTTCAATTGATGCTAACTCTTAGGGCCAACTGCCGTCTTCATTCTACATACTCGAAACCAACATATTCCTTCACGAAGGGGCCAGTTTCTCTTGGCTTTCAGAAACAGGGTTTTCTACGCTACTCCTGGGTTTGTTCCATCCGAGTAGCTTTTTGGCTTGCTCAACCACACCCATCTTCTCATCATGCACGTAGTCTGGGCAATCTACCGGGTCATTCTTGTGCCAGCACAACTTGCCATTGCGCTTTTTGTGCGATCGCTGATGGATGATACTCCCAGGCTCTCCTTCCATTGTTGCACCGTGCTGTTCAAGTATTTGTATCACTTCAGCTTTCTTTCCAGGTACAGTTGTATCTTTCATGGAATTGAGAAAGTACAACACCTAAACATGGTTATTTCACATATTCTTTTTTACTGCGGTATAAGCAACTTACTGGAGAAAAGAAGATGCGTCCCTCATTAGCGTTGTGTCCAAGCTCTTCTAGGCAGTACTTTAGGACTGGAATATCGCCCGTCATCGCAGCAGCGCCGACAACATCGCCAGTTTCGCCACAGTCCCAGTCCTTGGTCTGTGGGAAATGCTTGAGGAATGCTTTGAATATGGGAAGCCCAGAACGAGAGGCAGCATCGTGTGGGTATCCAAGCCAATGCTCCTGTGGGGGCCAGGTTGGGTTGTCTTGGACTAGTCGGTTGAACTCCTCAATGTCTTTGCTCTTGATTGCCGCAACAATCTGGCCGTAAATTTTCTCGGCGGTTGTGTGATCCATGGTATCGTTTCAAAGTAATCTTAGAATTGTGCAAAGGATTTGATGGAAGAGTAAAAGTTAAGGCTCCAGTTGAAGTTGTCAAGGGCAAGTGGTGAGTTCTTATGTCAGCGGGGTGCTTTAGCCGCCCACGCCTCTCATCCTACAAGATCCCTGCATTTGTTTCCCAGAAATAACCAATGATCTCATTCCCCAAGGGCAGGGTACTTTTAAGGCGAGCGACTCTCGTTTCAAGTGTATACAAAAATACTGACATACTCCCTCTACCACATGGATCACCCGAAATAGTGTGCAGTGTTGTGCGCCTCGCCCCATGAGTCTTCCGGAATGCCCAAGTAACTTGGCAACCGTGGATTGAGAATAGCTAACAAGAGAAGACATCCAAGAACTTTGGTCTATTCAAGGAAAGAGGTAAGAGAATTGTGTATATAATGCCCATGATCTCCAGTGTATCAAGCATCATTCAAACAAACACACCTTTCATACACTCTCAGCTTTACTCTCCTTTCATCTATCATCATGCATCGTTCTTGTTCTTCCGCAGTCCTTCTCTCTCTTCTCAACAGTTACCTTGCCGAAGCTCGCCCAGCCCCACAGGCCAATCTGCCTCCATGCCCGACGATTGTGAATTTGCCAGAGGCAACTCTCACTCTTAGTCCAGGTCCATCCGATGTCGTTGTGAATGGCTTTCCTGATGGCGCAACTTCAACTATCTCGGCCAATGGACCAGCCATCACTATCGGACCAAATTTGTTATCGTTGAACGCAGATAATAACGTCAACCTCAATGGCTTTGTGTTCTTGTTCAGCGATGATATGTGTCCGAAACTGGTCATACCAATCACCAATCCAGATCCTGTACCTGGCGAAAATACAGATATCATTCCGCCAATTCCAGGACCAACTGATATACCCCCAGTTGACGACAACCCCGATGGAACACCGATTGTTCCTGCGCCTACACCTATCCCAGACCCACCTGAAAATCCCGAAGAACCCATTGATCCTCCGAGCGAAAATCCAGAGGATCCACCAAGTGATGACCCTGATCTTCCTGTCATTCCAATCCCTCTACCGCCTCCAGTAAACCCAGTTCCGTTGCCGGATCCTAGTCCAGTGCCAGAGCCTATCAACCCTATTCCAGAGCCCGATCCAGTTGAACCCATTCCAGTTCCTGACCCGGTTGAACCCATTCCGGAACCTGACCCGGTCGAGCCTATTCCAGTACCTGATCCAGTCATCCCCATCCCTATTCCAGGACCAGTTATTCCCATTCCAGTACCCGATCCTGTAAATCCCATTCCTGTGCCAGATCCCGAGAACCCAATCCCCGTACCAGATCCTGAGAACCCGATTCCGGTTCCTGATCCAGTTCCTGACCCAGTCGAACCCATTGATCCAACTATCACACCTCCTCCTCCTCCCCCGCCTAACAACGAAGATCCCGATGATTGCGAAACTCAGACAGCAAACGTATGCACGCAAGGATGTAGCTTCGGCACTAACGACCTTGGAATCACGACAACTACTTCATGCAAAGATCCCAGTTGCACAGCAACAACAGCCTGCGGCGTCTCCGACTCTACCACTACCACGACCATCGAAGCACCAGCCTGTACCCTCGACTTGACCGACGGTTTAGTGCCAGGCTACCCCTTCCCTGTCGACGGCGACGGTCCGCTCCCCAGAGCCGATGCTCCAGCCAACGTGCCCGCCCCAGCTGATCCCCAGCCCACACCCAGCGAACCGATTGACCCCGCCCCAGAACCCACCGACACACCTGTCGAGCCACCTCAGGAACCTCAACCCGAGCCTCAACCCGAGCCCCAACCCGAGCCCCAGCCTGAACCTGAACCCGAACCTCAGCCTGGGCCCTCACCCACCGACCAAGTCTACCAAGCAGGCAAACTCACCGCAGGCGATGGTACTGAATCCATTGTCATGTACCGCAACCCTCGCGACTCGCCTCTCAACGTCTGCACCGACAGCCCCTTTTACAAGGAATCGACGCTCGTCGGGTTGTCAAAGCGCTTTGACATTCCGGATTCAGACTACAAGAATTGCGACTTTGTAGGTATTGGGAGCGATCCGTTGGGGATTTACTGTGAGGGCAAGGAGAGGCTGCCGTGTGTGGTGACGGAAGGGTCGAGCTTGGATATGTGCTTGGCGGGCAATGGGGATACATTCAGTGTTACGTGGAAGTGCAATGAGTAGAGTGAGAGCATTTTGAGGGGGGTTGTAAGCGGTGTTTTGGTTGCTTTTGGTTCTTGAGATTGATGGGAATGTTAGGTAGGGAGAGTGCGGTACGGATTGGTTTCAGTGCATGTTATATGGAACATAGGAGTACATGGTGTTATAGGAATTAGATTGATTTTTCAGTGATTATAACTGCTTTGATTGTTACTGTAGGAAACTTCATACAAGATATGAACAAGCCGGCAACGCTGGAACACCACCTAATCACACCTCAAGACCTTAAGTGTAAGAGTCTACACGTTACTTGTATCAGCCTCTCGGTTCCACTGGCGAAGAAACTCCCCCATCCATTTCAGCCGCTCCTCGGCCATCTTCTTCCCAGCCTCGGTCCTCATAGCCTGCTCGTATTGGCCAAAGTAGTCATCAACCAACTTGCTGATCTTCCCACTGGAGCCACAGCCGTCAGACGGAAACAATCCGCGGGACGTATAGAATTCAAGGACACCAATAGCGCCCATTTCAGCAAGCATATGCGCATCTTGGATCACGCAGTAAGCGGGATACGGAACGGAAAACGCCTTCATGTGGGCGATATCGGACGGTTGGATTTCGACTGTGACGCGGACGGTGATGTAGGCTACTTGGCGACGAATCGGGAGCGGGCAGATGTAAGACTTGAGAAATTCGTCAATGACATCAAGTGGGTCGCATGATTTCTCCGCAGCTCGGTACAATTGCCTGCTCACGGTATGCACCATGCATGAAACCCATATGATGAGGGGGTCGAGTTTGCGAGCCCATTCATAATGCTTCACTTCGTCGTTGAGGATATGAGCGGCGTTCGAGACAACGCGGCGGATGTAGCTGTAGTCTTTTGGATTATCCGGACTGTTTGCCAGTTCGCGTACAGCAATATTGACGTCCATGAACCATTGGCGATCCGCAGGCTTGATGTTCAGGAGATCCAAGTTGAAAAGTGGGACGTCTTCCTCGGATGATACATGGTAGTTACCGCCGCCTCCTTCAATTGCCGATGGGTCGTCATGAGGTAGAAGTGACTTTTTGGAGCGGCTTCCGCTGGTGCTAGACAAGTGGTGGGAGATGGATTCGATAATCGACTTCATGGTGACTTTGTCTTTAGGAAAAGGGATAGTGAGAATAGAATATCGCAGGTATAAGAAATTGGCAGTTGATTTATGATGTGGTGGAAGACAAGAGTTCAGGGAGGGGAAATATATGGTGGTCAGATAAGAAGTGAGTGCAAGGAGTGAAACGTGTAGGACTCGCTTGTAGTCCTTAGCCTGGGTTGTACATGAACACTGCTGGAGTGAACGCTATTCACGATGACGCAATGCCCGAGTGAACTTGTATATCACAGCTGTGTTCTGTTATTGTTATCAAGTAACGTACCGAGAGGAGCTCTGTGGTGGTTGTTACGCTCATCAACGACTTTGTTCAACCCGTTGCGAGTCAAGCTCCATGATGGCGAGAATCTTGACCAGAATCAACATGACTAGGAATGATATCCGGTATGTTGCTGAATCTGGCAAAACTATAGCCAAGTATAGGGCAAAGGGATCTGAAAGTTGAGAGAGGTATTGCGGATGATAGTGATAGGCCGTATGGAATTAGTGCCTATATAGAAACCACCAGTATTGAAGAAGAGATTGAATCAAGTCCAGCGGATACCAGAGGTCTGTATATGGAAAGTGGTTCAAGGGATGTGGCCGCAGGGGAGGGACCAATGTGAAGTGCCAGTGTATATGGATACCGATTTCTTCGTAGTTTTCCATTGAACGATTGCCCTGTAACGTGCTGTTGCAAGACGTTGAAGTCATCAATAGTGAAAGACATTTCCATGTTCACGTGCACCAGCACTTTCCGTCCACCAGCCCCACTTTGAAGCTGCCGATGAATCAGGCTTACGGCCACAGAGTCGGAGGCAGCCACGGTCACGTGCACGCTAGTCAGCTAGCGGCTCTCCTGCCAGTATATAAGCTTGCCATCCCCCGCCCCCTCTGTGAATCCTCATACTTACCTTCTTGCGACGCACTGAGCTCAAGCATTCAGTGGTCTGACTCGTTCGCCTGCATTGCACAGCGCGGTGTGGATAAGTCACGAGCTTCCTTCGGGAATCTCGGCGGGGCAATTTTTGCTGGTCGCATCTAAGAATGCTCTTATCCTTTTCATTGAGTCTTCTGGCACGAGTCCAGTTGCTTGAGGAAGATGGGTCACGCTGTTGTAACCGTGTATGTACGACGTGTGTCATGTATATTTGTCCACGTAGCTTGAGCGCAGAACGCTTGGTATGCTTTGGTATTCTCAGGGACCTGGATGCTGTACATATTCGACGCGTGCGTCGACACGCGCTTAAGCTAGAAATACGACGTGTCGCCTGGCTTGACGTCCTTCAACAGCTGGCAACCGCCTTGTTCGCCATCATTTAGGATTCTGCTGTCTGGTCCCTGTTTCTCGGATGTCTCTTGCCCCCCAGTTCTACAGCTCAGGCGGGTGAGTACAGCAAGCTCACGTGTGGAAACACCGAGTCTTGCGAGCGGGTCCTGCAAAGCCGGCCTTGTCAAAGGCTATAGGCCTGTTGGGTCCTTGTCCAACACCACACGACAGCATGCGTTTTCTCGTGTGAATCACGTCTTGTGTCTTTCTGCATTCAACCACGTGCGGCCTTGCTTATATCACCAGCTCTCGGCGAGTCTGGTACAACAGCCTCACCTTCCACCACTTCCAAAACATCATCCTCATCCGCAGAGACATCCTCTTTCCCACTCTGTTTCGCTTCCTCCAATGCTCTGTATTTCCTCTTCGACTTCTTCGCGGCACTTGCCTTCTTCTTGCTCTTCTCTCTCGCCTTGACCTTTGTCCTAGCATCCTCTCCTAGCTTCATCTCCTCAATGCGGTCCTGCAAGATGCGTCTCGCCATCTTTCGGTTGATTTCTCTCGACCGTGTGTCTTGATACTTGACGACAATGCCTGTGGGAATGTGCTTGAGTTGCACGGCAGAAGATGTCTTGTTGATTTTTTGCCCCCCGGGACCGGAGCCCTTGAGGAAGTTCTCAATCAGATCTGATTCAAGTAGTACGGGGCGGGGTGGAAGAGCTTTGGACAAGAGCGCAGGGGTGCTGTGGAATGCGGCATGTTGGATACAGACGGAAGTAGGTGCGCGGGTGAGGGCAAGACGCGGGATGAGCGGGAGAAGGTTCATTTCTTTGATCTTCAAGGCTAGAGACAGCACATCGGCAGCATTGGCACACGGGAAAAACCTTGTGCTCCGTTGTCGTCCGTTGTAGACCAGCGATGCGACTGGACAAATTGCCGTGCGCGTCATGAGATGAGTGGAGAGCGGAACAACACGCCAGACCCCTGCTCCAAATCCGCTCGGTCCCTGAACTGGTCAATCTCCCCTTCCTTCACCCACGCCGATTTCCATGCCATTCTAAATCCGCCGCCCGCCGCGCCCCAACTACTCACGCAAATCTCTCGGCCGAACCCTTTATTAAGTCGCCTTCTACTACTGTTTCCTATGGTTGACACAACATCCCTCGCGACAGGCGTCCTCTTGGCTTCCGCTTCCGCACTCCTCCTTGCAGCCATGTTGTATCCCTCGACCATGTTGCGCTGGTTCCAGCGCAAGCGATACCAATACGAAGTCACCTTTTCCCTATACATGTTGACGTCGACCGAGAAGTTCATCTTTAGTACGTTTGTCCCACATGCGTGCGCTTCTCGTCACCGCCAGATACCCACACCCCTTTCCCTTGCCTTTCCAGTGGAGACATGGCGCAAGGAACCAAGAAAGACAAAAAATACTAACATATAATTACAGACTCTGTGCTCTTCCTTCTACTCTCTCTCCTCATAATCGCTGCTTCACTATACCTTCCCGAGCATCTCTCCATCATCGCAAACCGTATCCTCTACTACGTATCTGGCAACCAACAGTCGCTTGCGAATGACGCACAAAAAATGAGTGTATCACCGAACGCTCCCCTAGGAGATTTCCCGGCCGGTGGAAGGGCCTACATGGAGCCATAGAGCGATGGAGCACATGTCCGCACGAATGAGAGCAGCTACACTTGTTGAGAAATAGAGGGGTTATGGCGTTTAACAATGGACCTTTTGGATATGCATGACAGGGTATTTTTTTTGAAGAGCGCAATGAGCAGCTATATGCGTGTATGGAACAAAGCATCAAGGCAGACGGGATCCACTTATGCTGCCATCCCTACTGTGTATTAAATACCTGGCAGTCCACGGCAAAGTCAAACGCCATTATCGACATTCAGAAACACATACGAGATACCACATATAATGTTAATACCTTTGCTATTCTCTCTTCTTTGAAACCCCCCCAAGGCGCCAAGCCAACGAGACTACGTACACATTCCCCGGTATGCAAAAGGTCACTCTCCCACCCATGTACCTGTCTGCCACGTAGAACTGCATACATACGAGGCACATTCCTTGTCTAGCATGGCATCGACCTCACGTGAGCGTCGCTGTATGCGCTGTGATATGCATCATGCACGCTGTGCAGAAAGTAGTCACGTCGACCTTGCATGTCCGTGTGTAAGTTGAGTGGGGCAACCTACTTTTTGCACCTCGGGCGTTGAGGACATGTCTCTTTTGTTTCGACCATCAGTTACACTGTCGAGTAGAGTACGGTGTGTAGTGGAGGTACTCTCGGTACCTGGTTTGAACATGTCATTGCTCTGGTAATGCTGAGTTCAAATGAGCACCAAGATGGAAGATGCTGAACGAGGTAGTGGGTACATTCTCATGACGTATTTTAAACAAAATCATAAATCCCGACTAAAGCTCATGACAATATGCATTATGCCTAAACTAACAAGGCCTTTGTTTGCAAATCGAACGCTACACAAATACCACTCAATGACGCCTGCCTCCATGACACTAAAACCCCCCAATGTGATGTAGCGCATACAAATCCGGATATGAATACACAAAAGACCGCCCTTCATTACTCTCAGATCCCAAACAGAACTTGGACAGCATTGTTCAATGCTGCAGCTGTGTAATCGTTGGCCGTAATAACTGCCGGGAGATCGCAAATGGCATCAACATAGCCCCTCCCAGCAGCGTCATCGCTGATGAGGAGCACTGCAGAAGGGATGCTGGCTATTGTGTTGTTCTCCTTGATGTCCTTTGCTATGCCCCGAGCAAACTGCAACTGTTTCTCAAAGGCGTGAGCATCATATCTGAGGACATTGGCCGTCGCACAAATAACAATTATAACTGCTCCACTCGAGGGTAGAAAGTCGGCGTGCGTTTCGGTTTTGCCGTGGTCAAGGCGGTATGGGACATGTCGTACTTTTCGTGGCAACACCCGGCCCAAAGGCTCAAACGGATCCATATCCTTCGCCAGCGTTGTAGAAGGAGGATGTGGGACAATTGGCGTGAAGAGAGTGATGATCTCAGCTTCGTTTAGATGCCGTAATCTCTCGAGAGTTCTCTTTGGACACCGTACAAGTTTAGCGTCCCCGGTAGTCGAAGCTCCATGAAGCATCCTGGTCAGAGCCGATGGGCAAAATGTTGGAAAGGTAGTTCTTGAGCAAAGTGTCTTGGAGGTGAGTGGGGTTTCTGTTCTGTGTTTATACATAACCAAAGGCCAGTGTAATTTGAATATGATACCAACGTAGATAGTTTTCCACAAGACAAAAGGACAGTGCAGTAAGAGATTGCATAGGTATTTCCTGTGAAGACCACAGAAGACTCGTGGATCAAGCTCCAGGAAAGCACCCCAATTCGCGTATCTCACCTGCAATGTAACAAGCCTGGGTTGCCGAAAAGAAGGAAGGTTGCTATGCCGTGAGACAGTAATTTTTTTGAGGCTAAGGCGAGGCTCGGGAACGCTAATGCTCAATAGAGAGCTAAATGGCGCAGTCCTGGCCGCGACTAATCACGAAGGTGTGGTTACCCAATATTCTCCCTCGATACTCCAGGAACAGGTCAACAAACCCAGAAACCGAGCGGTTGATGACCACAAGGTGGGTGATAATCGTGCTCCTGGCCCTCAGGGGCTTTGAACAGTCGAATTGATTAACTACAATCTACCAGGTGCGCATGCCGATATTATTGAAAATGATGATCGAGGTGATACTAGATCAGATATGAGGAGGGTAACACAAACCTTCGGCCATGCGGGCACGGCCGGCAGATAAAGCAAATAATTTGGGACTGTGCTAGGCGGAAGGAGTGCCGAGTGGCTGGCATATTCCAGTCCATGACCACAGCCGATACGACGCAGGCATTCTGGTGGCGCAGGTGCGTATGTGGGCAGTTACTTCAACGGACGCCTCGCCGCATGGCCATGGTTGTCTCGGGCAGCAGCAGGATCGTGTATCGAAGGCAAACGAGGTTTGATAGGATAGCACAAGTGGGGCACTGTTGTAATGTGCATGTGTATGAGGAAGTGATAGTCATGGTAGTCCTGGAGCCCTACAGTGCTGGCGGAAGGGAAGACGAAAGCTGTCACTCCGGACAAACCGCCTCACCGACCTGTCTGGTGGAGGATCTGTGAAAGAACGCCACTCAGGATCAGGCAGCCAGCCAACAACCGGGTCAGTAGGCCAGGCACATATCCGCGTACGTACGCCATCATCAGGGGGTGTACAGCACGCGGGGAAGTGTACGCTTGGAGTTGACGTTGCAGAGGGAGTGATGGAGTCGATCGCTGACGTGCAAAGCAGCCCATGACCCAGGACCAGTCGGACCGGCCAAGTCGACGCATCTTTACCTTTTTATGCTTGCCATGTAGCACAGAGTGTTCAAGGTGAATGTGGAGACAGACGAGCGCTACGAAGCATGTTCCAGTGACGGATAGGCCATGCGGGTGACATCTGCATGATTAATTGAACCGAGCCGGAGTAGCGTAGGCGAGCCACAGGAGCCCCAATCGGTGAGTTGACGAGTACGTTGAGCCATTGGCTATAGAAGGAAGGGCCGAATACGCAAATGCGATAGAGTCATAGGACAGTACTGTTTGCAAGGTGAGTGGAAGAGGTGTAGCACGCACTGTTCTGGATGGATGGCTGGCTGGCGGGGAGCTGCTCGCTTGTTTGGTTGCAGTCCAAACAGGCAAGGCGCAACCTCATGTCAACAACCACGACGGCAACGCGCCCGCGCAACCGCACCGAGAATCCACAACGGCCAAACGCGGTCTTATCCGATGCATGCTGGTACTGACAGCGGCATGCCCTCTGTTGCTGGTAACTCGACCTGCAACCCGCCCTGTGCCAGCTACTGATGGACTCGGCAGAAGAGCGGCCCACGCTGCAGGAGACGCTAAACTTATTACACCAAGGTAGGCATCACTACGCGACTGTCGACTCGGTCAGGAAGAGTGCTTACAGTGGCTTGCAGCTTCCAGGACATCAGCAAAGCAACGCACTATCAAGGTCTCGAGCATAGTCGATGTCATCTGCCGGTATGCCACAGAAGGTGGCCTTGACCAGGATGCTCTTCGAGATGTTGTACAACTTATATCGGTGAAGACGTTGTTGGATCAGACAACCATCACTACCCTGATCAAGAACCTGTACCCTGCCCGTCGCATACCACGTGACGTGGTCATCACTGTTGTTGGTGCGCTTGGTCAAGGCAAAGGAAAACCCTCGCCTGGCACCCAAGACAGTCTGGTAAAGTGGCTGATTACAGTTCATGAGATCATTGAAGAACAGAGTGTTCTCTCGCGTCTGTATGGCGTTCTGTTCGGCATGCTGGACATGATCAGCATTAGGTGCGCCACTTGAGCCAGGTTGCAACTACATGTGTGCTAAGTTTAGCAGGACTTCCTTGTGTCATCTGCTCTCTCTCATCACTCGCAGAAAGCACGTCAAGCCATTTCGCATACAGCAACTGTGAGTGTAAATTTCAAAGGCAGTGCTTTGATACGGCCTACTAACGCAATTGCAGACTGGAACTTTCACGCGGACTAGGTAATGAACCCGCGTTACAGGGACTTCTCCGTGTGTACAAGGACTACTATCCCGACATCATTCTTGGAAGTACTTCCACGAGTCGCAAGTCTTTCGCTCCGGTGAGTATCCGCCGCTTGTGCTACTACGCATGCAACTCCGACCCTCCCATACTATTTCCCCGCACCCCACCGTCGTACTGCCGAATATGAACTAACTTTACAGCGACCGGACGACGAATGGAGATCCAGGATTGCCGCAGTCCATGAGGCCAGTAATGCTGTGGATGATTCAGGCGGCGAGGTGCAGAACGGCTTCAAGGTGCTACGAAAGGGACCCAGGGGTAGCAAAAGCTCTGCCATCCCGGAAGTGCACACCTACCATGCGACTGAAGTAAGCTCCCAGTCTAAGCTGTTTAGTAGTAGAACCTGACATTTTATGATAGAATTCGGTAACGCTCGAGGGTATCGACAGTGTTGATGATTTTGTTGAGAAACTTGATAGGATAGAGCCGCCAGGTCAGCTAGTATCGTTGCTTACAGATCCGCTTTTACAAAAGTACGTGGATTTGAAGCCTTCACATATTTCGACTGCCAGAATTGGTGTATGGCTTGCCGCCTGCTTAGAGGAGCAGTTCGAGGCCCATCGCCAAAGGGCTGGAGATGACGAATATCTCGATGAGATACTCGGTGGTCTCTTGAGATATGCTCAGTACACAAAGGTAAGAGCAATTATTTTACCGACTTGTGCGAAGCTGACCAATTGAAGACGTTGCACCCGAGTGCATTGGCTTTCTTCCGAGAGTATCTGCCAGTATGGAATGGGCAGGACAACTTTGACACCATTTTAGGACTACTGTCCCATATTGACATTCAGTCATTCGAAGAGGTTCATGCGGCATATCTCTCTTTTGTCGAGCGGGCCATAGCAGCCCAAGGCATCCCCGCGTACCCCAAACTCATTAACTTCTATACTGCTCTCTTACAGCATCATATGTCGAAGGCGGTCACCGACGCTGCGAATCGCGGCAGTGAAAGCACTCAGACATTAAGCCGTGTGACTACGCATGTTGCAACATTGTTCACATCAGCTCTTGTTTCGATACCTGCAGGACTGGGCAGTGATGTCACGTCGTGCATCCTTTCCTTTTACGAATTGGTCAGCACATCGTCGAAGCCGCGTGTGGTGCCGATACAGCTGCCACCAATGCATCTGATCTATCTTTTGACGCAGGATGCTTCGGCAACGACATTTGCACGTGTCTGCGGCATCGTTGGGGCGTACAAATTGGCATTTGACAGACATCCCAAACCGGTCAAAGCCTACTACCCTGTTGAAGCTACTGATACATTCAACTATTGTTTGCGAGACATGTACAACCTTCTCTGGGTAGCTCGGGGTCTGGTGGCGCAGGACAAGAAGTCACAGGGGTTGTTCTGCGATGCAGCACTTCGCTCCATGCTCCACTCTTATCTGAAGAAGATGGACCGTGAGCATACCATCGAAACAGCCTTTGGGTTGTCTCACAACGCATGGCTGGCAGCGCTTTCTGCAGCAGCTTGGCGTGCTATGGAGCAAGACTTTGCTGATAAGAACGGCCTGGATCCGAATACCATGGTGCACCACCGAGGGCCCGTCAGTGAGAAGAGTTTAGAGGCTTTGAAGCGCAAGGGTGGGGTAAGTGTGGATTGGGATGGTGGAAGTGGATACAAGGCGTGGGTGCTTCAATGGTTGGATGAGCGAGGCCTTGGTGGTATCAAAGAGTTGATGTTTGCTACTGTGATGAATCTGAAGGGCGCCGCATAAATCTGCTCATGGCACGGTACATATAGGCTGTTCCAGTTCCGAGCGGCTTATTTGACAGTAAGAACATCTGTAGACACCAATGTTTATGTATAGTTTGTAGTATAACAATCATAACAATAACAAGTTGGAGCTTGGAGACTGACGTCGCGACTATACAACGACATTGGCTTACAATAGTACATGGATGTACCTGGCGTGGACTGACTCGTATGGACCGACCATGCTGGAGAACCGGCCGTGTTTGGGAATCGGCACTTGTGTGTGTATACGAAGGTAGAGAACAATGGCAAGTTGTCGCAACCAGAGGCAGAATGGAGTCGAGGTGATGTCGTGAGGATCCGATACCCACTCGTAGCAAAATCTTTTTTTTGCTCGGAGCAGGGATGAAAGCATAGTTGCACAGCTATGACGCGCGGGCGGCACGCGAAACACGTGCGCCCGTGGTTCCTGGGCATTGGCTGCTGGCAGACAGAGCTCCCCGCCAGCCAGTCCCAGTCGAGTTGTAGTTTATTCTTCTATTACTCTCTTACTACTGCATGCCGCGCTGCTTGGTGTGACGCGTTTCCTGCACTTCCTCACATTCAGCCTCTCGCTTAGCCATGAAGTTCGGAACGACGCTTCGCCGGAGCGTGTATGCGCCATGGAAAGACCAGTACATCGACTACGACAAGCTCAAGAAGCTGCTCAAGGACAACGAGGACGACGACTCGTGGACTGCCGATGATGAGAGCGCCTTTGTCGACGAGCTAGCCAATGTGCAGCTGGAAAAGGTGCACAACTTCATCACCGACATCTCGCAGAAGCTGCGCGACCGCACCTCGGCATGCGAGAAGAAGCTGGAGCCATTGGCTGTGGGCATTCACGACGATGACAACACCAACGCCAGTGGTAACGGCGAAGGTGAGGGCTTGCTGGCCGAGTCCTCCAAAGATGCGCCCAAGAAGCCTGAGCTCAGCCAGGAAGAGCGCGAAAAGCTGCTAAAGGAAGTGCTGCGCGAGCTCGACAGCATCACCAAAGAGACCAAGGAGCTCGAGGCCTTTAGCCGCATCAACTTCACCGCCGTTATCAAGGCTACTAAGAAGCACGACAAGCTGCGCGGCAGCTCCTACCGCCTGCGCCCCTTCATCGACGCCCGCATTGCCCGTCACCCGCTCCACACCGAGGATGCCTCGCCGCTGCTCTACAGGTTGTCGGCTCTCTACTCGTTTGTCCGCCAAAGCCTCGATGGCAAGTCCAAGGAGGCCTTGTCCTTTAACGATGATAGCGTCACAGGCGAGACCTTCAACTCACACAAGTGTAAGTCATACATGGCCAGCTGCAACGCGCTGCGCTGACAACATATAGTTTGGGTCCACATGGACAATCTCTTCGAAGTCAAGACGGTCATCCTCCGCCGCCTCCCGGTCCTTGTCTATAACCCCCAGACATCAAAAGTTGCCGAGGGTACCCAGCGCGACCCGACAATTACTTCCATCTACTTCGATAACCCAGACTTCTCCCTCTACACGGACAAGGTCAATGGCAAGCCTGACGCCTCTTCGCTCCGCCTCCGCTGGTACGGACAGCTCAACGAAAAGCCTGAGATCATGTTTGAGAAGAAGGTTATCAAGGAGGGCAATGCCGCCGAGGAAGTTCGTTTCCCCATCAAGGCCAAATATGTGCAGCCTTTCCTCGAGGACAAGTACCATATGGAGAAGAGCATCGAGAAGATGGAATACAGGCCCAACAAGGACCAGCAGAAGCTCGACAAGTTCAAGAGTGCCGTCAGCGACATCCAGGGCTTTGTTAAGGAGCAAAAGCTACAGCCCATGCTCCGCGCAAACTACACTCGCACTGCCTTCCAGATCCCGGGCGACGACCGCATCCGCATCTCACTCGATACCAACCTTGCCCTCATCCGCGAAGACTCGCTCGACGAGAGCAGGCCGTGCCGCGACCCAGATGACTGGCACAGGCATGACATTGACGGTGCCCAGTTGGAGTACCCATTCAAGAATCTCAAGAAGGGCGAGGTTCACAGGTTCCCCTATGCTCTGCTTGAGATTAAGGTCAAGGGCTCACAAAAATACGAGTGGATCGAAGACCTGATGCACTCTCACCTTGTCAAGGAATCACCTCGCTTCTCCAAGTTTGTCCACGGTGTCGCCAAACTGTTCGAGGACAACGTTAACACCTTTCCCTTCTGGCTCAGCGAAGTGGATAACGACATCAGAAAGGAGCCTGAAAAGGCCTTTGACGATGAACAAGAGAAGAAACGCAAAGCCGCCGAGGACGAGTTTGCTGTTGGCTCCCTCTTCGGTGCGCGCGCAAGCCCTAGTTTCCGCCCATCTATTGCTTCGCCTGTTGGCTCACCCGCAGCTACTCGCTCAGTGCCTAAGAGTGCTAGCATGGCAGCCCACTCCCAGCCTGCCGTCCGACCTTCGCTTCCGACGATTGGTTCGCACCTTTCGCAGTCGCAGCAAGACCGCAATCGCGATGCGAACAACAATACCAACGTCCGCGCTGAAGAAGATTCGGACTCGGACGACGATGTGGTTGCGGGAGGAAAGACGCAAAGAGGTGGTCTTGCCGCTCTCTTCCCATCTTTCTCCACCTCCAAGTATGCCCGCCGACAACAGCGCAAGATCCAGCTGCCGCCAGGCATCAGGGACCCCGGTGTGTGGATCAAGGACCAGGGCCCGGTCAAGGTCGAGGCCAAAGTTTGGCTCGCGAACCAGCGTACCTTTATCAAGTGGCAGCATGTTAGTGTCTTGCTTGCTTCCCTGTCCCTCGGCCTGTACAATGCTGCAGGAGAAGGAAACGACATTGCGCGCGTGCTGGCTGTCGTGTACACTTGTGTGGCTGCCTTTACCCTAGCATGGGGCTACGGCATGTACGTGTACCGGGCCAAGTTGATTCGGGAGCGTAGCGGAAAGGACTTTGATGCGATTACAGGACCATTGGTTGTGTGCATTGGTCTTGCAGTAGCTTTGTGCTTGAACTTTGGCTTCAAGGTACGTTGCCCCCGAGGCTGGAATTTGATGATGATGTAACGAGAAAACTAACATGTTTGGTTCCTGCAGTATAACGCTTTGATCAAGCAAGGACACCATGACCACACTCATCACCATGCCAATGCTACCTCTGTGAATGAGCAGATGGAGCTGAGGATCTAAGCTTACTCTTACGGAGTCTTGTTCAACCTGTCCATCAATCTGACGTTGAGAAGATGAGTTACACGCCCGGGAAAGAAAGACCAAGATAGTTTGACAGTCCTGTGTGTCATACCGCTCGTTGCACAAGGGAACTTGTGTGAAGAAAGGAAGAAAGGGTAATTTCGCCTTCATTCATTTTTTCTCTTATTCAAGTGTCCTCGGGCAAGGCAAAACAATATGCTCACTTCCTACAACGTCACATATGCTTCGACGAGATGGTCTTACAAGCACGTATAAGCATGAAAAGAAAGAAAGAAAAAGAAGAAAGGACGATGAAAGCATGTTGCATTCTATGGTGTTTTGGGGGTTTGTTTTCTGTTTGAAGCGGTTCCGAGAAGGAAAAAAAAGGGGGGTGATGAACTATAGTTTGTGACACGAGTATTGTTTGTGTGCATGTGACGACAACGAGGGTTCCATCGTACCGTCACATGCATGGCTATGATTACTTTGTTGTTTTGTACTTGTATTTGTACGTACGGGATGAGATGTCGAGGGGTCATTGGGGTAGTTAATGGAAAATGTTATATTTCTTTGGGAATGTTTTCCGTTTGAAGTTTATTTGTGTGTGTGTTGCATGTGCATTCGTCACGACAGTGGATTGTTCGCCTGAAATTGATGACCAGTGACACGGGTTTGGAAGGGTGTGGCATGCAGTGGTTCGGGTGATCAAGTTTCCCCTGGTGTGTTTTGCCTTTCTTTTTCGAAGGTTGCGAATGGATGAAACAATCCTGGAACCATTGAACCATACGAGCACCTTGTTACAAAAGACGATTGGTTCCTCATCACAAACATGATTATTGTCATCTTTTCCCCGCAATGCTTCAATCTTGTAGACAGACCCTGTACAACATTGTGCCTAGGGGCACTGGGCTACATTGCAACCAAGCGGCAGTCGAAGGGGAAAATCCAGCACTAGAGTCCGCTGGTACTCTACTGCGCAGCAACGGATGTTAGTTGGTGTGTGGTGCTAGTCCAATGGCTAGTAGTGCAGCCGTTGTGGCGGGCATGGTACGGCTGGGGCTGGTTCGCGGACTACTAAGCTCGCCAAGCTTTGTTGAGGCTAGTGAAACCGAATCCCGCGCGTGTTTTTCTTTCTTTTTTTTTTGCATCCGGAGTATTGTTGTCGGCAGTGCTTCGGGTGCCTACATAAGTATCTGCGTACGTGTCTGTGTCTGGTTCTATTCTAGCCTAGTAGAAACAATGCGTAGATGGTTCAGGGGCAGTAGCTATCGCCCAAGTTCTCAAGGCGACGAGTACTCTCCCGCAATTGAAAAGATATGGGGAATGAACAGTCGATGGCGCAACGGTACCCGAGATTTGATTCCAACCATAACCCGGGGGAGTGTGACGTCTCCCATTGGGGTAACACGGCGCTCGAGTGCAAGGCGGAAAAAAAGTAGCGTAAAAGGTGCCTCACCGGACCGGGCAAGGCTTGGCACTTTGGAACCACAGACGGGATGCCGCCGAATGGTTTTGATGGTTACTGTGACGTTGCTGCCGGTGGGAAACAGGCCAAGCATGGCTGTGCGTGTAACGCGTCTTGTCATCACTTTGGGATTGATTGATGCACAGCGGTAGTGCTGCTTGGAAGTCTTTGTCTGCTTGGGAGATTCTCTTCATTTCTGCAAGCAATGCCACCGTCGGTTGTGACGGCTTGAGGCGGCGGAGGTGGCAAGACAAGGGTGAAAAGAAGTGGCAGGGGTGTTTATAGTGGTCAAGGGGCGCATGAGGATGCTAGCAACCCGTCATTTTGTTGCAGCCTTGGACATACTAACTACTCGAGATACGCAGGTGTGGTGTGCATACTAGCACTAGTTAGATGGAGGCATGTAGGGGCAAAGGGACTTGAAGCCGCAGCGTGCCGCAGCCAGGGCTGGCAAGACGGACAGCATGTTGTGCAGCATATCTGCGTGGATGATTGCTGGTTGGACAGCAGCGGAAGGCGGGCTGCTAGGCGTGTGATGCAGCGTTGGAAGAGTGGAGTGGGTGGCCAGCATGCGGCCCAGTGATCTCCAGGCACAGACGCGCCAAGCTGCCACTCTGCCACTCTGCCACTCTGCCACCCACCACTCAACCACCCACCTTTCAGGCCTGCCCGCTCGCTTCGCCCGCCCTTGCGAACTGCTCCGGCAATATCCCTTGAAACACAATGGGCCTTTTTGCTATTGCCTTGTCCAAATATCCCGAAGTCATTGCGTCTTTGTGAACCGTATGTTTAATCTCTGCTGAAACCCCATATCCACGACCATACCGCCCTGTCCTATGGTCCCCGTGCGAACAACGAAACCTATGGCTATTTTGCCTGCATATAGGCGGTAGGGTCTAGTTTAGTTGCGGCTCTGTGCTCATCCCCAAGTACTTACTATGTATTATGACCAGCCACGATGGCTCCCCGGATCCCAGGCCGGGTGTCCACTGTTCGGCAATCCTGCACGAGACGTGTGAATGTGATTGGTGTTACGACTGCGAATGCACCTCTGCGTTAGGCATGTGGGTTAGTGCTCTGTCGCTCAAATTGGCCCAGACCCATCTGCTAGTCTGTTTGTATTCGTACGCAGGCGGGTCTTGGGTGCGTCACTCATGTATATCACCAACCTCCTAGTGGCGCGTGTCAGGACTCTTAAGAGCGCTGGGCCCTGCGGCTCGTCTCATCTTCACTGCCTGTTTCCTCAGGCTTCAACCACCTTGGCGACAAACAGACGCGGAGCCCCAAGTGAACCTGCTTGTCCGTTTGCGCACACACTACCTTCCTGACTCAATGTCCAGCACGTGACGTTGCTGCTCTTGCCTCGCCACGACTACACTACAAACACGGCCCTCCACTTCGTCTCTGCTCATCTTCTCATTCGACACCGCGCAGTTCCATTCTTTTCCAGCCAAATTAGCCCGTCTGCAAGGGAAAAAAAAAGGATAGCTCAGCAAAGCTATCCAGGCTCTACCTATGAAGACCCGCTCCACCCTCGCCCTTGCGGCCTTGACCACACTAGCTGCCGCCTCCCCAGTACTGCCCTCTCGTACTGAACACATCCATCTTGAGGGCCGCCAAGCCAACGGCACTACTTCAGCTCCCTGCGCCAAGGTCTCCAGCTATGTTTATGGCGACGGCACTTCCCCTTCCAAACAGCAGGTCCCTGCCCAGCTGGCCTGGGATTGCATAAACGACATTCCCTTCAATGCGTCCTCGGCAAAGCGACTCATCGAGGGCATCCGGCCATACATCGATTGGCAGAGCACTCTCGATGTACTCAAGAACCCCCCCGCCGAGTACGTCGAGAAAGTCCAGCCTCCGGTCGACATCATCGGGGGACTCGACCAGATCGACGCCGATATCGACGCTGGCAACTTTAAGAACGAGTATGACTTTGGCTGGACTCTCTACAAACTCATCCAGTCTGCCCACGATGGCCACTTTGCCTACGTCCCTGATTCAGTTGGCTCTCTCTTCACCTGGGGCCGACCGATTCCCCTAGTTTCTGTTTCCGAAGATGGAGATCAACTACCCGCAGTCTTTGCCTTCCCCGATGTCCTTGGTATGCAGTTTAATAACATATCCTACACGCCTTCGCCCGTCGTTGAGATTGATGGCAAGGATGCAACAGAATTCCTGGAGGAATTCAGTCAGCACGGCCAGCTCCAGGATCGTGACGCACTCTACAATAATTTATTCTATGAGCTTGCCCAAGTCAGCCTCAGCGCCATGGGCAGTGGTACTGGTACCTTCACTGGAGGTGGTCGTGGACGATGGGTCTATCCTGGAGCCACCACAACCCTTACCTTTGCCAACGGGTCTAGTTACACAATGGAAAACTACGCACGTCCACTCATTCCACTCCGCAACATTGCTACAGGCCAGGACCTAGCCGATAAGTGGCTCACCTTTGGCTCTACGGATAGCACACCAAAGGAAAATTTGGGTGCTGATACTGCTGTTGTCCAGGCAGCTAGTAACAATGCACCAGGTTATCCTACCCCTATCGCAGCTGGTCCCATGAGGCTTATCAACGGGTTCTACATCAACGCTCCTGGATACGAGGATGTTGCGGTGCTTCAAGTGCCTAACTTTGTAGGTTCTAACAGCGCAGAGATTCCATTCCAGCAGGTGACACAGAACTTCATTCCCAAAGCTCTTGCAGACGGGAAAACCAAACTGGTGATCGACCTCCAAGCCAACGGTGGTGGCACAGTTATGCAGGGTTACGACATGTTCAAGCAGCTCTTTCCCAATATCGAGCCACTCAGCAACAATCGTCTCCGTGCACACGAAGCTGTAGATCTCATCGGCCAGGCGACTAGTACTTTTGCCTCGAAGTTTCCGAGGGTATATGGCAACAACAGGACCATCATCGCTGCCCAGAGTTCCTATTTTGACTACCATACTGACGTCAAGGTGGATGGTACGCCTTTCTCATCATGGGACGAAAAGATGGGACCCCACGAGGTCAATGGCGCGCTCTACACTACAGAATCACGATGGAATCTTTCTGACGTTTTCACTCCCTATTCGTCAGGTGGTATATACGTGAGCGGGTACGGTCCTCTTGCCAATGTCACTGGGCCACCCAAATTTGCTCCCGAGAACATTGTTCTTCTGACAGATGGTTACTGCGCGTCAACTTGCACCATTTTCAGTGAACTTATGACACAACAGGCGGGCGTTACGACCATTGCTATGGGCGGGCGCAGTAACAAGAACCCCATCCAGGCCATAGGAGGTACCAAGGGCGTCAACAATTACCAATTCGGCTTCATCCAACAGACCGCACAGTATGCCATCACCTTCGATCCTTCACTGAACAGCTCCATTCTGAGAGAAGACTACTACCGTGACCTCGTCTATTCGCGTAGTGCAGGCTCGGGTGTGAACTCCCGAGACGGACTTCGTGTGAATGATACTTCTGGTGTGGCCCTGCAATTCATCTACGAGGAGGCCGACTGTCGCCTTTACTATACTCCCGAGATGACTGTTGACATCACTGCTGTATGGCGGGCAGCGGTCGATGCGAAATGGGGCGATAAGAAGTGTGTAGCTGGGGGTAGCTATGGTGACGAGAAACGTGATGTTTCAAAGGTCACGACCAAGTTGAGTCCTCCAAAGGGACGTGTCCGAATTGCAACAGCAGACGCTGTTAACCATGTGCAAGCATTCGAGAACAGTTTCAAGCTGGAGACCGAATGCAAGCTCAATGGTGATGGTTTCATGGCACCGTAGGCTTGGATATCTTGCCCGGGTGTCGCGGTACGGTCTTGAATACTGGTTAGTTCTCAAAAAGGTGTGGATTATAGCGCATCATGATAGGTGTCCCTAGTCGTAATTTGTAGTGTTCACGAACATCCTATAACTGTATATATTTATTTTGGTAGGCACTGCGGTGCAATGGATGCCCTGTGATCCTTTTGAATAGTCACTTGGAAGATGATTTTACTTGATGTCACAACCCATTGATACCTGTTTGTGTGGGCCTTGGCGTTGGGCATTCAGGTTTACGACAACGCAACACATGGTCTTGGTGTGAGCATGTCCTAGTGGTGGTCAGCAACTTGGGTCGTTGCCGCAATCGCTACGAGGTTGTAGGACAAGGGCACGATCATTGCGGTCTTCAGCATGCGAAACGATCGAATCTCACGAAGCCCATGCACCTGTTAATGCAAGATAAACGTCATTTGCCTGGCCTCAGCATCTCGGCAGCCCTGGAACTCGACAAAGGCTTCGCGAACCACGGTACGTCTTCCAATAGCGGCCAAGGCGATGGAAAATTCGCCCCTCGGGAGTCGTGGGCCCCTGCGTCTTGCCGCTACAATGTTGGTCCGTGCAAGGATTACTACCCGAGATTACCCGACCTAAAAATGGCGGACCCTGACCGTGGCCGCTCGCGAAAAGGAGAGGCCTAAGAACCTGGGAAACTTGAGCTAGAAAAGGTATCTGGACACTTGTACATCCCCACAGTGGATTTTTTTCAAGTGTTGAATCAATGCCTGTCCACTGCCCATGGAGACGAGTCCGTCAAAGTGTATCCGCTTGCTAGTTGCTGCTACGGCAACGCTTGTGTGGTGCCGCAATTACTTGAAACTCTAAGATACCAAAAAGACGGTGATAAAAGTCTCATTGTGCGAGCCAATTGCCGAAGCAGCATAGCCGTCAAAAAGACAAAGAACCAGATTGTGCTTGAAACCTCCATCAGAAATACTTTTTCCCCAGTCCGCAAATCCGAGGTGTAGATGTGGAAGCGCTCGGGACAGCGGGTGTGGGAACTAGCACGTGATTGGCCTAGCGCGGCTTAGCGCAGCTGGCAGAATTTGTCGCAGCTTTCGCTACAAATACACCTGTCTTCCCTTAACGCAGCGCCAGCCTCTGCAACCTTACCTTCTTCACCCAATCTCCCCTCCAAACGTCGTCAAGATGTCGGGTAAACAGCAAGACAAGAGCTTCATGGGCATGCCCGTATGTACACCCATTTCCCGCGAGCCCTCACCCGTAGCCCACAATGCCACTGGTCCGCGCACTCAACTCAATGCCACATCAATTGCATCGATACGATTTCTCGTAGCGAGCCGACGATCCGCTGAGATGAGATTGGCATCATTATAGATGCTCGTGCTGGCTGGTGGGGTTGGCGGTGGTTGCCCTCTCTCCTATCTACAACATGTGCTAACGACACAATCAGGGTTTCGTGGTGGACTTCTTGAGTATGTCTCATCGGCATTGATAACTCCATCGGGTTGGATGCCATTGGCATTCCAACTCGATGTTGACAATATCAGTGAACTATTACGCCTGTAACGGAAACTAACAGCTTATCAGTGGGTGGTGTCTCCGCCGCCGTCTCGAAGACCGCTGCTGCCCCCATCGAGCGTGTCAAGCTCCTCATCCAGAACCAGGTACGCTTCAACTAAACAAACTCCGCATAACAATCGCTCATACCCCGCAGGATGAGATGCTCAAGTCCGGTCGTCTCGACCGCAAGTACGGCGGTATCGTCGAGTGCTTCAGCCGTACCGCCAAGAACGAGGGTGTCCTCTCCCTCTGGCGTGGTAACACTGCCAACGTCATCCGTTACTTCCCTACCCAGGCCCTGAACTTCGCTTTCCGCGACACCTACAAGTCCATGTTCGCCTACAAGAAGGAGCGTGACGGTTACGCCAAGTGGATGGCCGGTAACTTGGCCTCCGGTGGTGTAAGTTTGGTCCATGATTGAAGCGTCTATTTCCCATGCTAATAATATTAGGCTGCCGGTGCCACTTCCCTCCTCTTCGTCTACTCCCTCGACTACGCCCGTACCCGTCTCGCCAACGACGCCAAGTCGGCCAAGAAGGGTGGTGAGCGCCAGTTCAACGGTCTTGTAGACGTCTACAAGAAGACTCTCGCCTCCGATGGTATTGCTGGTCTCTACCGTGGTTTCATGCCCTCCGTTGCTGGTATCGTTGTCTACCGTGGTCTGTACTTCGGTATGTACGACTCGATCAAGCCTGTCCTCCTCACCGGTAACCTCGAGGGTAACTTCTTGGCCTCTTTCGCTCTTGGTTGGGCCGTCACCACTGGTGCCGGTATCGCCTCTTACCCTCTCGACACCATCCGTCGTCGTATGATGATGACCTCTGGTGAGGCCGTCAAGTACAAGGGTACCATGGATGCCGCCCGCCAGATTGTCGCCGCTGAGGGTGTCACCTCCCTCTTCAAGGGTGCTGGTGCCAACATCCTCCGTGGTGTTGCTGGTGCCGGTGTCCTGTCCATCTACGACCAGGCCCAGCTCCTCCTCTTCGGCAAGAAGTTCAAGGGTGGATCCGGTTAAGCGCCTCTCTTCCCTCCTCGATACCCCAAACCTGCGTTTATGTGGCGGAAACAGCTAATTGCGACGTGAGAGATGGGGATGAGGTGTCCGTGTTGGAGCAATTGGACGTCTAATGGGCCGACGGTTGCTCCTGCTGACGCAAAGCACGACCCCGGAGTGGTAATACACTCTTGTACTTTACAACATTCACACGTCATATCCGGCTTGCATTGCTTTGTCTGTTTTTGACTGTACTTCCTCTTTTCATCGCTCGGTGCAATGGGGAAAATAGTGGTCAATAGAAAGTCATGGGTTTCTTTGTACAAAACATGTGCCTCTTGTGATGTGATGTCTAAGTGGATACGGGGGTTGGTTTTGAATTTGACATTTCACTAACATTACCAATGATGACCAGCTCGGTTAGAAGCCACCGCCATTTTTGTTGTTGATGGCCTTCCATACATTCTCTTCGCCCTTCTTCAGCGCCTCCCCTGCCTTGCTCAACAACTGCCAGGCCTGTGCTCCCACACCCTCGCCTTGGCCTCCATCACCTTGGCCCGCTCCGCTCGGCGCACCAATGCCGCCTCCAACAGTGTAAGGGGCGTTGTCTGGTGCTTGTACATAGCCAGGAGGATGCTCCAAGCTCGTTCTTGTAGGCTGTGGTACCGCATTGCTAGAGTCTAGTGTTTGGAAGGGCGAAGCAGCAGGACCAAAATTCAGCGTCGTTGGGCCAGGCTTGCTAGCCGCAGACAAGGTAGGATTCATTGTAGTCACTGTTGAGCGACCTGCCGGCATCGAGTCTGAAGGCGGCGGGCGGCTAAACTGTGGAGGCGGTCCGACTTGTCGTGTTTCTGTTGTCACTACCGTTGCTGTCGGACCTGGTTGTGGGGGCGCTGGTATCCCATTGGTGTTGTACCCGTCGCTGCTTATTGGCGCTGTGGGGGCGGCAGGGCGGGCGCCGGGTTGTGGTGCGAGAGGCGACGACGACGATTGTGTAGTTGTTGCAGGAACATAGGCGGGCGTGGTGCGGGTAGGTGGTGGGTTGGTTACGGTGTCGTTTGAAGACGCAGTCTCGGGCGTTATGCCGTCTACTTTTGCAGCCGCAATTGGTGCAATGGGTGAGTTCTTGTGAATTGGGATTGGGGGCATGGTGAGAAGGTGTGTTGCCGGTAGCTTCACGGCTTTGTGAGTTACTCTGCTTGTGGTTTCGTAGTCTTGTGTCTTTGTTGAATCTGTAGATGACAGTGTAGAGCAAGTGAATTTATCACTCGTAATCGCGATTTATCGTTCTCGAAAATGTCTTGAATTGTGGACACGGTGTGAAAAAGGGTTGTTGCTGCCTTGGAGTAATGCATCTTTCAGGTGAACCCTTGAGAGCTTTAGGTGGAGGTTACTGCTTTGGGCGATGATGTCATAATAGCACGTGACGCGAACCATGGTTCTTCGGTTTATGGGACTAGTTTATGTGTAAGTATGTATAGATGAATGTATGTGATGTTGAGCCTTGTTTTATTGATTCAGATACGCTCCTTGGCCGAGCGGTTACCGAAGTACATGAGCCTAGTGAATTTTCGGCTCTTCTCACGAATAGCAGAGAGCCTGTTTTCCCTGTCTATCCAGAGGACAAGAGCACCCTCCCCGAGTTTTGACGCACGACTGTTTTACTGGTTTGATTTGTTGAACCCATGCCGACTAGAATGACAAATCGATATGTAGGCTTTCACAAATGTTCAGATTGTACTCGCTTTCAATGAGCAGAGGGAACAGGTGTTCGGCGTTTTCGAAAAATATTAGCAGGGGGTTGGAGAAGGCCCCTTCGTATTCATTTCATTATCCTCGCTCCTCTTGCCATATCGTATTAGTAAGATATTGCGCAGGGCTCTCCACATGATGCATATCAATGGGACTGTTTATGGGCAGCAACTCACTACTTGGCTTACGTCCTTGATATTGCAGCAATAATTTATTTTGAGATTTGTCAGTGGTGCGAATTTCTGCAGCGATTTGATGGTAGTACAACTTGTGGTTCTGTGGGTAGTGATTCGAATTGATGTTGTGTTGGCGGAATATGTTTTTCCGTAATTCATCTCAAATGTTGGGTGTGAGGAGACTGGCTGGTTATTTACTAGTAGGCAGGTGCATGATGTTGCATGACTCGTGGCCTGACTCGAGCTTTCGTCTACATGTTTCCCCTTCGTATACTTGTTCGCTTCGGGAAGGATCTCAGATTAAATTCCACCGTGCAAGATCGCACAGCCGCATGTTTGTACTGTCGATTGCCAGGATCCACAGACTCCTTATTAGAATGTCCTCTATTATGATATCATCCGTCTATTTCCATCGCTAAAAATATCAATTGGGAGCTATTGAGTGCTGCCTATTTCCATAGCAAAAATTATGAAGTTCTACAAGCATTTGATGCGACGTTTCAGGCGAGCACTCTTTTAATCTCGCTCACTGGGGAAGTGGAGATATTCGTATACTCCTGGCTAGCCGTGCTACTTGAAACATTCCGCCTAAGCGCCGAAGAAAACGTCAATAACTGGCGTAGCTTGCCCCCCTCTCCATCCCCTGGCAAAGAAAGAACAATTATCCGGGACTAACAGTCGTGGCTTGAGCCTTTTTGGCTTACTTCACGAGTCGCTATTGGTGCAATATGGCTTAGAACCACATGCTTGGGTAGCTTGGATCAGTAGAAGCTTTACCAAGCCTGGGGAAGCACTAAATAAAATAGATGAGGAGTTGGGCTATCAAGTCTTGTATAAAGGACCGACATGAATTCCCCATAGACTGGCAAAGTCACGGCTATTCCATTGTCATCTACAGGAATAGATTCAGTGCTTCGGTTTTTCTATCCACTTCAAATCAATTTCCAGCAATACATTGCTACTAAATGAAGTTTTCAGTCCTATCACTTGGCCTCATGGCCGTTTCCACTCTGGCAGCACCCTCTAGTTTTGTCAAGCGCCAAGCGTCTCTAGAGGATGTTGCAACCACTGGTTTTGCTACCACAAATGGAGGCACATCAGGAGGCAAGGGAGGCAAGGTCGTCAAGGTTGCTACTCTTGCTGACCTCGAGGCTGCTGTCAAGGGTGATGCGGCGGCTGTTGTTGTCATCACCGGCCCCATCTCTGGCAATGGGGAGAATGTCCACATTGGTAGTAACAAATCTGTCATTGGCAAGGACTCATCCGTTGTCCTCACCAATTTCACACTCACAGCAAAGGCCGTCAAGAACGTTATCATCCGTAATGTTGCCGTCCGAAACGTTGTACATGGCGACGCCATTGCGATCCAGAAAGCCCAGAATGTCTGGGTTGACCATGTCGAAGTGTCATCGGACAGGTCCCACGACAAGGACTACTACGACGGCCTAATCGACATCACACACGCAGCCGACTTTGTCACCGTTTCCAACAGCTACCTGCACGACCACTGGAAGTGCTCACTCGTGGGACACTCCGACAAGAACGGCGCCGAAGATAAGGGCCATCTCACGGTCACGTACAACAACAACTACTGGCGCAACATCAATTCGCGCGCCCCATCTATACGCTTTGGTACTGGCCACATCTACAACAACTACTTTGAGGACGTCAACGACGGCATAAACGTACGCCAAGGCGCACAGGTCCTTGTCCAGAACAATGTTTGGGTCAACCCCATGAAGGCGCTGTACACTATCGACGATGGCTTTGCAGTCGGCTCTGGCAACGACTTTGGTAATAGCAGCAACACTGCGCCCGTGGGCTCGTTTACGAAGGCGCCTTATGCGGTCCCACAGCTTCTTGATGCCAAGGATGTCAAGACTGCTGTTGTTGGTATTGCTGGTGCGACACTCAGGTTTTGAGCATGTTTGGGCCTCCGATTGATGGTTTGAGTGGGGATTCTCTTCAAATATATGTTTTGAGACTTGCCTTTGCGCATGGGAACGCTGCACTTGTAGATACAAAACCTGGATTGAATACCATACGACGCATTTCATTGTTGTCCCACTTTCCTTGCTAGCCTCTTCTTCCTGGTATGATGGACTAAACGATGCTGCGTGCAAATATGCGCAAATGAGATTTTTTCTACGACAGTTACTCGAAAATGCCGCTTGTAAAACATCTACGGTAAGAGAAGACTCACAACATGTACTCGGACACGGACGATGTCAGAGAAGGGACGAAGCCCAAGACGAGGAAGAAGAGCCATTTAGGTTAGACTGAGTATCAGAGCATGAGGATAGTGTGATCGACAAAACGATCGTGGATGTAAACTCAGCATTGAACACAGTGTCACAATGCTGGCACCAAGTGAATTGGAGGAATCTTGAATTATTAAAGGAACTCCGGATATTGTGGGTTATACTAGAAGTAACATGCGTCTTTTTGTAGATGCCGGAATGGATGACTGGATTATGTCTCCGAACGCCACGTTACATATCGCACGTGTGAACTCAGATTACAGATGCGAAGTCAACCACCTTAGTCCGATGGCAGGAATTTCTGAACAATAACGCTTTACACGCTTTTTTGGCCCCACCAGGATTCTGCTTCTTCAGCTTTCCACTTGTCGTACTCTCCTGCTGCACGCTCAATGACTGCCTGTTCAGCAGCGGACTGCCAAGTTTTAGCCAAATGACCATTCTTGAGATCTTCCTGGAACTTTGCGACATCGGTGCGGAAGCAGTCATTGGCCAAAGTGAAAGCTGATGGTCGTGTGCCTTCTGTTTCTCCTGCGTTGATCTTGGCCAACAAACCTTGGTTTGTACCGTCCTGGGGCAACATGGCAATGAGAGTGCTTTGCTGTTCTGCACTGAGACATGACCAGGCTGAACCCTCGAGAAGCATATGCTGTGTTATGTCAGCTAGGCAAAGCTATGTAGGAGTCATTGGACTTGCGTATATATCTGCCTTAACTAATCGGCTAGTAGAGTTTGTTGTGATGAAGACGGAGTCAAAAACTTTACTGGTACCCTTCTTGCTTGGAGGAGCTTTGGCTGTTTTCTCCTCAAAGTCTTCGAAGCGCTCAGGAGCTTTGCGGTTTCTTGAAGGTTGTGACCTGGAGGGCGTTGGCGCAGTAGTTTTCTTGGGCGCAGACTTCTTACGAGCAGGCTTCGTTATAGGTGCCTTGCTGTCTGGTGTCGCGCTTGCCTTGTTATCAATCCTTTTCGGATGTGGCGTACTGGACGCAGATGCTAAATTATCATCCTCTTCACGAGCCCTCTTCGGACTTTGCCCCGCTGCGCAACTGGCATCTGTATTGGAGGCTGAGGTGGTGGCTGGTTCTGGCTGGGACGCCTGTGTATGTTGCGTCTGAGTTGAAAAGTCTGGAAAAGTTGGTTGAGAAGTGAGAGATGAAGAGATGGCTTCTATCTGCGACACTCCAGTTTTCATGTCTGGTGTGTTGGGCGAGGATTTGATAGTTTCATGGTGTGTTGGGCTCATTACGTTCACGGTAGAAAAGACCGTAGTCGGCAGAGGATAGTGTGAAATAATCGACTCCTTGGAAGGTGATCTAGGACTACGCGTTAGGAACCGGTCAGGTGGGGCATGGGGAACCATGCGAGACTAGTATTGTATTGAAGAAGAAAGGACAATAACTATCCAGCAGTCGGCGTGAAGCGGAAACGGTGGGAAGGCAACAACCTTGCCAAACTGTGAAAGACACGCAACATACCGCACGGGTAGCGACATTGTGTCCTGATAAATGTAAGGCAGTTGTAGGCAGCAGAGGTGAATGATGATGTAGTAGGCGACTGACACAGAATGGTGATGATAGTAGTGGTCGGCCAATGTCAAGTGTCTGGAATGGTATTATGAAGCTCCAATCGCAGAGACGAGCAAGTGAAGGAGCAGCAGAACGGCAGCTTTACTCATGTCAGTCGATGCATGGTCCTGAGAGTACATGGATGTTGTCACATTCACGTGCAGTGGCATGATATAAACACAGTAGTATGTAGACATACTAACACAGGACATAGCGTTGGTGTGTCTGTGCGCTCTCCCGAACCCTTTCCGCATCGTCATGTTCCGCTGTCTGGCTTGCACCAACGCCGACACGTAGCCTGTATTTGTATCTGCTACCCCCCCCCCCCCACCAAAACGCGCCTGTAGCGTTTCTGGGTGATCAGAGGACACTGCACAGCACACAACCCTGGTCCGACACCCGCACCGCCAACATGATCAAGCATACGATGATATCCCGGCTGGATGGTTGGTGGCAGCATCATGAATGAACCGACATATGCCGGAGTTCTGACCAATTTGCAGGCCTGATATTGACCGCCTCAGTCGATGATGAGCAGGTACTGTCCATTCCAAGACTGCGCGCGGCTTCCATAACCAAGGCTCACTGTTCCCCAGACCGACGCCGAATTCAATGAGGTCAAGGGCAAGGTGAAACTTGTCCAGCGGCGACTGAACCGCAACTCGGAGCCACAAGCAAGCATAGAGAGCGGCAGCTACACATACCAGTAACGTCCCCCTTCTGTCTTTCCTCTTCTTTTTGGCAAAAGGGGTCGAGCCGTCACGACTCATGCTAACGTCTTGTCACCAGCTACCTAATCGAAGGCGATCTCTGCTTCCTCTGCATATGCGATCGCTCCTACCCCCGCAAGCTTGCCTTCACCTACTTGTCCGATCTCTCGCGCGAATTCACCACCACCTACCAGCCACAGCAATATCTCTCGCCCACTTGCCGCCCGTATGCCTTTGTGGAATTTGACACCTTCATCCAGCGCACAAAGAAAACATACCAAGATTCAAGAGCAACACAGAACCTCGATAAGCTGAACGATGAGTTGAAGGATGTCACAAAGGTCATGACCAAGAACATTGAAGATCTGCTCTACCGCGGAGACAGCCTGGAAAGGATGGGAGACATTTCAAGTCGGCTGCGCGAAGACAGCAGAAAGTACAAGAAGGCGGCTGTGCGTATCAATTGGGAGCTACTGCTCAAGCAGGTGAGATACCGCGGCAAGCATAACATGCTGGCAAGCTGAAAGACTAACCACAACATAGTACGGACCTGTGGGTGGACTAGCCTTTATCATTATTGTTTTCATATGGTGGAGGTTCTTTTGAAGCCGTGTATGCAGTGAGCGATACAGTACCACAAGATCCATGCCCAGAGTGGATGAACTGGGCACTCGGCGTTGGAGGCGTCCCACTGCACCAACTTCGGGTCATGAAAAATACGCAATAATACCCAAATTCAACTTGACTGTACATATTTACAAGAGATAGTTTTGCGATGTGATGAATGCTGTATGTGCTCCGACAAGCGCACAAACTCCGACGGACAACAAATACCGAGCTGTTATTGGCTGCCATGTTGTTCAAAACTGCCCTGGTGCCTGTCTCGCTAACCAGCTAGTCCCCATCAGTCCCCACACCACACACGATACCACATTTTCGATTTGCAACCTTTTCCATCAACCACTTTCGCGCACAGAATCCATGTAGGACGTCCATGGATAACCTCTGGTGCAAACTCGGCAACATGGACGACGGCTTATACCAACATGGATGACGAATATTCCGATGAATGTACACCACCGCATCTCACATCAATCTCCCGGTCGTAGAACACAGTCAGGTTGAGAGGTTGGCAACGAAGTCAGAACCTGGAAACAGAATCCTAAGAGCTCCCACAAATCTCCGCACGCCCATATCATGACGGTCAAACATCGCCAATATGGAGACACTGTCAGCTCACATGTCGAAGTTGGCTCTTGTCACGTAGTTATAAGGATTCTACTTTAGGACCCAATACCAGTACCCGACAGTAGCATACCTCGACAGAGACCATGTTGTCATGACACACGTACTACAGGCTTCTCTATGTTGATTAGTTCAATAGGGGCAATACCATTCAGCTGGGCCAGCTTTCAAGAGACGGGATACTGCATAATTTAAAGTTGGACGTCGACGGACCGACTGGGAATCCATGAGCGCAAAGGAGGATACAAGCAAGGGAATGCCTATAACCTTTCCAGACAAGTAACTGCGTAGTTGGTGGACAATTGCCGAAGCCAGACACCCGGAACGGATTTGCCTGTACAGCCAGAGGCTCCTTAGTCCCAGCCACCAGGATCCAACAACGAGAGTTTCATGATCAATTGCACCGAAGGCATCTTTCCTGACTACTTACACACTACCCACGGCCATTCGAACGGGAGTTCTGGAAGTCCAGGATCCAGGCATTATTCTTAGACAGCGTTGCAACTTGAGTGCCTCAGGAGTATACCCCTGTAATGCCAGACGGAAAGAGACTGGATTACGTGAGGATATCCGGCACGTTGGCAACACTAAAAAAGCAGCGCTAGTACCGGTACACGCTGATTGGTGTCTGAAGAAAATATCCTAGCGAAGTTAGTACTATGTTGAGTACGTACGCACGTGCCCAGTCGTTACCATGCGGGTTGAATGAACACGTAGGCTTGCTACAACGAGTCCTGGCCAGCCACGTCCCGTGTAGCGGCTAACTCTAACTATTTCCAGAGGAAGGATCCACAGGCATCCACAGGCTTACGGATGCCTGATATCCAAACCTAGCCCCCTTCACGTTGACCACCGACTCAGCGGCACCGACACGTTCCGATTGACGATTTGATTCCTCAGTGTTATTTCCCCTACCGAATCGTAGCATCGATATTTGGCCGAATGCACCCACCCCCCGCTCGAACGGTTTCCAACGTTTCCCCACCCCCACGTCGAGTATGACTAAGCCGCATATCGTGCTGGTCCCCGGGGCGGTACACACTCCAGCATGCATGGCACCGTTGATGGAGAAACTGCAAGCCCTGGGTTACACAATGCATTGCCAGCAAATGGCATCGACCGGCAATTCCAGCCCGCCTAGCGACCTCAGCGAAGACATTGGGGTTCTTCGGCGCACCGTGGAAGAAGCCATTGGGCACGGCAACAATGTTATTGTTGCCCCTCATAGTTGGGGTGGCGTGGTAACGGGCACTGGACTCAAGGGCCTGAGCAAGGGAGAGCGTCAGGCCCAGGGGCTAAAAGGTGGTGTCATTAGAATAGCGTTCATGGCGAGTTTTGTCCTGCCCGAGGGTGTCAGTCTCATGCAAAGGACGCACAACGTTGCTTCGCCCACCTTTGTTCCCACTGGTCCAAATTTCACCTGCACAACGCCCGAGCTTTTTTACAACGATCTTTCCGAGGAGGAGCAAAAGCGTTGGGCTGCGGGCCTGAGGACCCAGGGCATCGCTTCATTCACCACGCCGACGACGTATGCGGCGTGGAAATACATTCCGAGTTGCTATTTGCTTTGTCAAGACGATTTAGCGCTGCCCCCGGCCGTGCAGGAGGAGATGGTCAAGGCGGCAGAAGAGGCAGGTGCAATCATGCATGTTACGAGGATCAAGAGTGGACATAGTCCTTTTTTGAGCAGGGTGGATGAGACGGCCGAGTGGATTCAACGTGTTGCGGGAGAGATGCTGGCGTAGTGCCACGAGGAAAGCAAGTACGTGGACAGCAGAAAGAGAAGAAGTGGAAACACACGAAGTCGAGCGGTGAAGAGCTTGCATCAACTTGTCGGCCTATAGCGAGGCAGAGTGCGTACAACGAGTGCAGTGCTGAGGATGGAATTGATGCGGAAAATACAGTAGAGCAATCGAATAAAGAAAACATGCGTTTCTGGCCATTTTGAGCACTGAACTACTGGTATTCGGGTTTAACTTTACAACAGTTCCAAACCAGAGTTTGGGCGATGAGAGGAGTATCTAATGTCATAACCAAAAAACAGGATGAGACAGGTATCAGATGTCGACTCACGGCAGATCAGTCAATCTTTCAATGGCTGGGAATCTCGCCTTTGACGCATCAGACAGCGGCGCGTTACCCGGACGGTCGACAACAACAGCGTAGACGTTGGCCTTGATTGCCGCTTCAGCCTCTGTTGCAGAAGAAACGTGTTAGTACCATAGCCGGTGGTTACTTGTGGTATGAAACATGCGACAGCAATGCAAGTGGGGGGGAGGGGGCGCGCGCGGGGGATCGCGTGACGGATAAGTTACATAAGGCCCTTTTTTTTTCTGTAGTCCATGTGGGCAAGTAAAGAGGTAGTGGGACATNGGGGGGGGGGGCGCGCGCGGGGGATCGCGTGACGGATAAGTTACATAAGGCCCTTTTTTTTTCTGTAGTCCATGTGGGCAAGTAAAGAGGTAGTGGGACATTGAGGGACATTGTATGTCGCATGACGGAGCATGTACCATACATGTGTAGATACACATGTGGGTACTGGTAGTCAGGGCCGGTGCGTGATGGTGTGATGATCGACCGACAAATCGGGCTATGGAAGGGGGGAGGAGGAGGGGTATTACAGTGGGTGGGTGCAATCGGCAAAGATGGTGGGTAGTGTGTTGTTTCAGGACAAGTGGAGAAGGCCAACATACCTTTTACGTTGTCTGTCAAAAACACAACCTTGGATGGAGGCTTTCCTAGCTCGGAGCATATCTTCTCGTAAGAGGCTTTGTCCATCTTGGGGCCAGCGTTGACGGTATCGTAGTGGGCAGAGAACAGAGGCTTGATGTCTCTCGTCACGTCTCCATCCTTGACGTAGGAAAAGAACTGAAGCTGTGCCTGCACGCTGCCTGAGGAGAAGATGGCCAGGGTCTTGCCAGCAGCTTTCCAAGCTTCTAGCGTGGGGACTACATCGTCAAACAGCGGGGTCT